CAAATACCTATCAGATACTATTGCTAAATAAACATTGTTAATGCATTTGTGTAGAAAGAAGGTAGTGTTACAGTTAGTATCCATATTTTATTTTATTGGCACTTTTAAATTGTTGTGCAAGTACTGGGGTTTGAACTCTGGTCCTGGACACTGTCCTTGAGCTTTTTCCAATCAAAGCTAGCATTTTACCACTTGAGCCACAGTTTCACTTCTGGCTTTTTGGTGGTTAATTTGGCAATAAAGTCTCATGTACTTTCCTGCCCATGCTGACTTTGAACAATGATTCTCTGATCTCAGACTCCTGAGTAGCTAGGATTACAGGTGTGAGCCACTGGCAACATCTTGTTAGGTTATTTAATTAGAAAAAAAAAAGGGGCTGGGAGCTGGGTGCTGGTGGCTCATGCCTGTAATCCTAGCTACTCAGAAGGCTAAGATCTGAAAATTGAGATTCAAAGCTAGACCAGGTAGGAGAGTCCATGAGACTCTATCTCCAGTGAACAAGAAAACCAGAAAAGTGGAGCTCAAAGTGGTAAAGTACTAGCCTTGAGCAAAAGTGTTTAGGAACAGCACCCAGGCCCCAAGTTCAACAAAAAAGAAGGAAGAGGAGAAAGGGGGGGGGGGGTAGAGGAAGAGAAAGGGGAAGAGGAAGGGGAGGAGGAGAGGAAAAAGCAAAGATATGGGGTATAGCTTAGTGATAGAATATTTGCCTAGCATGCTTGAAGCTCTAAGGTTGATCCCTGGGACTGGAAGGAGGGAGGGAGAGAGAGAGAGAGAGAGAGAGAGAACAGGAAAATGAAATAGAGATAGAGGGAGACAGATGGAAAGAAAGAAATGAAACTGTGTTCCAAATCACTATCCAGGATTAGTAATGAGAAGCCTCCAGGACCAGCACCTCCTTTTGTTGTTGGTGGTGGTGGTGGTGGTCATGGGGCCTGAACTCTGGGCCTGGGCGCTGTCCTTCAGCTCTTCAGCTCAAAGCTAGTGCTCTACCACTTGATCCATAGTGCCACTTCTGGCTTTTTTTGCTTCTGTGGTGCTGAGGAATCAAACCCAGGGCCTCATGCATGCAAGGCAAGCACTCTACCACTGAGCCACCTTCCCAGCCCCCAGCACCTCCTTTTTTATTTTTGTCAGTCTTGGGGCTTGAACTCTGGTCCTGGGTGCTGTCCCTGAGCTCTTCAGCTCAAGGCTAGAACTCTACCACTTAAGCCAGAGCACCATTTCTTGTTTTCTGGTGGTTCAGTGGAGATAAGAGTCTCCTAGATTTTTCTGCCTGGACTGGCTTTGAACCACAATCCTGGGATCTCAGCCTCCTGAGTAGCTAGGATTACAAGAGTGAGCCACCAGCACCTGGCTGGCACCTTCTTTTAGTGTTTATTTTTCCTTTCTAAGATGTTGTGGGCTTGGGGGTACATGACCATTTAATTGGCAGCTGTTTGACCTTTCATAGACCTAGACAGTTTGAGTACAGGAGTCTCAGCCTACCAGACAGACAGCCTGTGAGACAGCCTAGCTGATTTGAACATGGCAGTCACTCATTTCCAAAGCTCAGCTCTGGTCTCACCCATGACAGTTTCAAAATAGCTCATGCTGCACTTGTTTGCTAGTGAAACTATAGATAACCCACTTCACCATGTATGGAGGTAAAAGCTTGTCCTGTTGGTCTAGTAAAACCTTAAAACCTTCATTTGCTGGAGGGATTATGCTGTGATTGGTTTAAATAATCATTATTTGCATACTTGATTGGGCCCTGACAGGCACAAAAACAGACCTTCATTTGTATAATGTGATTGGTTGAAACATGGTCTTTGATTTTCATAGGGGATTGATTGTGCCTTGATGGGTGCAAACACAGTCCTGGATTTGCATAAGAGACTACTCTCTGATTGGTGTAAATGGCCCTTCATTTACATGGTGATTGGTTCAAACACAGTTCTTCATTTGCATGAAAGTCTGCTATGGTTGTAATGGTAATGGTTGGTTGAACAGTCCTTTTTCACACCCCTTTTTCCGGCTATATAAGCAAACTTTTCTATTTTCAAGCCAATTGGGACATTTTTTTTTCTGCCTGTTCTTTTGGGGTGTGTGTGTGTGTGTGTGTGTGTGTGTGTGTTGTGTGTGTATGCATACAAAAATGTCTTAAGGGCTGGGAAGGTGGCTCAGTGGTAGAGCACTTGCCTTGCATGCATGAAGCCATGGGTTCTATTCCTCAGCACCACATAAGCAAAAAAGAAAAAACCAGAAGTGGCGCTATGGCTCAAGTGGTAGGACTGGACCAAAAACAAACAAACAAAAAAAAAACCCAGAAATGTCTTAAATATAGTCAACCTTCACAGGCAACTGAATCCATGAATTGAACCAATTTCAGTGGAAAATATACAGGAAAAAATATATACCGAACATACATATTTCCTTTCTCTAATTCCCTAAGCAGTACAATACAACTACTCATCATTTGCATTGGATTTAGCATTGTAAGACTTCTAGATAGAAGATATGAGTAGATTATTGTTTTATTTTGTGTTCTGGTACCATGGCTTGAGCTCAGGTCCTTTAGTTCTTGCTCTGCTTTCTTGCTCACAGCTGGTACTCTACCACTTTAATCATGCTTCCAGCCTAGATTTTTGCTGGTGAATTAGAGATAGAGTCACTAGATCTTTTCTCTGGGGCTGGCTTCACTGAAACACAATCCTCCAAGCTCTTAGTCTCCTGAGTAGCTAGAATCACAAGGGTGAGCCCCCACACCTTGCATGAATAGATTCTTTGCAAATGCAATGCCATTTTATCACAAATTTTTTTTTGTTGGTCGTGGGTCTTGAACTCTGGGTCTGAGCGCTGTCCATTTGCTCTTCAGCTCAAGGCTAGCGCTCTACAAGAGACTTGGGCATTTGTAGCTTACAGATAAGGACATTCCATTCCCTTCCTGAAGTCACATCTTCCAACTGGTGCTTACGTACTGAGAATGAAACTTCTCTTCTTGCTTGTGTGATCTTGGTTGTCTCGTATAGGATTAACAGCAAAGCACTACAGACAGTTCCTCCTGAGATAACCCCCAAGGCATAGAGAGGTTGTGTGCAAAATCAGAGAGGCTGGAGGTGAGGAGAGATGGCTTCTCACTCACCTCTGACACCTGAAGGGGTGGGTGGGGCACAGGGTGGGGCTGCCCAGTTAGACTCTCCAAAAGGATGCCAAGTGACAAGGGGGAGGAGCCACCTCTGTGCCACTCCCTGTGCTCTGCAGGAAGAGTTTGGGGGATGTTACTAGGGGTGATGTATTCCCACTTAACCCAGGGAGTTTCTTCAGTATTACCCTTCCTTGCCTCTTCACAAGGCTTCCTGCTGCCATGGTGACTACTTCCCCACTCTTCAAGTGTCCTCCCATCCCAAATCTCTCTGCTCCTCTCTCTCCCTAGAACTGCACCCCAGTCCTGAGCGTGTACCCCCTCACACTCCAGTAGAATGGATCCAGGTGCTACAGAACACTTGGGTAACTCTTGGGCTTCTAGATGTATCATCTGGCATTGCCTAACGTGGATCGGGATTCAGCGTTCTCCACCTGGTTTGACGATAGTGCTCACTGGGCAAGCCCTTACAACCACCGAGGGCTGGGCCCCAGTGATTCCTGAGATGATTACTCTACAGCTGTTGGATCCATGGTGGGGGGATTGGAGTTTTACAGTCCCTTGAAGGGGTGCAGAAAATGGGTGAAGATAGCAGACCACTATTCTGATTAAAAACAAAAACAAAAACAGGTGCTGGAGTTTTGCTGTAAGTACCAGGAGATACTCCAAACTGTAACTGAATGGTTGTGGGAGGCTAACAATATCACAGTCTCACCACCTTCCTGCTCCCTCTCCTCTCCTCTCCTCTCCTCCTCTCTCTTCCTGTCCTCCTCTCTCCTCCTGTCCGCCTCTCCTCCTCTCTCCTCTCATCCTTTGTTTTTTTTTTGGTCAGTCTTGGGGCTTGAACTCTGGGCCTGAGCACTGTCCCTCAGGTCTTCAGCTCAAGGCTAATGCTTTACCACTTGAGCCACAGTGCCACTTCCAATTTTCTGGTGGTTTATTGGAGATAAGAGTTTCACAGCTTTTCCTGCCCAAGCTGGCTTTAAACCGTGATCCTCAGATCTCAGCCTCCTGATTAGCTAGGGTTACAGGCATGAGCCCAGCACCCAGCTTCATCCTCTCCTCTCCTCTCCTCCTCTGTCTGTCTGTCTCTGTCTGTGTCTCTGAGTGTAAGCCACTAGAGACCAGCTCTAAGAGTTTCTTCCTTCATAACCAACCTGCCATCCCAAATTCACCACCCCACCCGGACCAGCCTGCATATCTCACACACACACACACACACACACACACACACACACACACACACACACACACACACAGAGAGAGACAGACAGACAGACAGAGAGAGAGAGAAATAGTATTCTCAGATAATTTATTCAGAATTTTAATATAAACAAGTAATTATTCCAATATTTTACATGCAGAACAAAATTTCAACACTCCCCTTTTCCCTCCCTGAGTTCCCCCCTCCCCTTACAAAAAAAAAGGCATATTCTGTACATGGTGCTCTTTTTGTCTCTTGGAGGAAAACTTTTTTTATTTTGGAGAACTGAGTTTGAGGGTGTTTTGTGTTTCTGAGTTGTCTTTTTCAGAAGCCGTGGAAGCTTTGACCCCCCGTGTTGGTGACACAAAGGACTGAGGTGCAAAGTGGTCACAGGTGACTTTCGACTCCTTGACACACACTGCTAGAGACCAGACACACTGACACACGTGTGGATGTCCACTCATTTCTCTCCCTTCTCAAATAAGATCCAGAACCCCTGATTCAGAATCTTACAAAAAAATTTTTTTTTGTTATGGCCCACACCCAGATCAAAGTTTGTTTGTTTTTTTTTGGTGTTTTTTTCCCCCCAGAGACAGATCCTACAACCTGATTGGTGACAATTCAAGCTCAGAAAGCCAATGCATCCATCTTCTCAGGGAGACTTGAAAGCATATCTTTGCCTTTAGTTAACTCTATCACACTTCTGTGTGCCCCCAAAGGACAAGGGCTGACCTTGAGCATCTCATCAATCTGGTGTAAATTAGGATGCTGAAAAACACTCTGGAAGATTCTTCTGAAAAGGAAACAAATCTATGTACACCATTTGTATATAAAACCATCTCTTCTCTTTTCCCCAAGCCCAACAACAAGCATAATTCCTGAAGAGCCTAAGGCGCTCCCCACCCCACCCCCTCTTTTACTAGGTTGCATCCAAAATATACCCAGCTTCCCAAATATCCACCTGCCATGAAGTTAAAGGATTATGGTTGGAACAATTCATTTACTAGGAACCCTTGTCTGTTGATCACATTGAGGGCATGCTATATAAATAACTGCTCACGCTGGGCCACCCTTCCATGCTGGTGGGGGTGGGATGAGGTAAGATTCACCCCAAGCAGGTGGTATGGTTCCCAGTGGTCACAGATTGTTGCTCCAATTCCTACATTTCCCCTACCATACACACACTCAAATTGGGCTCGTGATCCTGTAAAGAACCAGCAGCGCCCACCTCCTAGCTTCAAATCTCAGGGCAGCACCAAGGACAGCTCCCAGTAGGCATGCCATTTCCTGAGAATCTATCTGCTTGACATCACTGGTCTAGGCAGAAAATACAGTTTTGCTAATATTCTCTTCCTGGAGGAAGTTAACGGCTGTGTGGGTCTCCTCATGGTGATTTAAACAAAAAGAAAAAAAAAGAAAAACATTTTCTTATAATAGTGAGATGTCTTTTAAAACAGCAGAAAGTGCCGGGCACTGGTGGCTCATGCCTTTAATCCTAGCTACTCAGGAGGCTGAGATCTGAGGATCCCGGTTCAAAGCCAGCCCAGGCAGGAAAGTTCATGAGACTCTTGTCTCCAATAAACTGCTCAGAAAATCAGAAGTGGTGCTATGGCTCAAGTGATAGAGTGCTAGCCTTGAGCTGAAGAGCTGAGGGACAGTGCCCAGGCCCAGAGTTCAAGCTCCATGACCGACCAAAAAAAAGTGTCTGTTAAAGCAAAAAGCTGGGGGTGGATGCTTCCTCCTCCTCACTCCCACCCCCTTGTCATGACAAACTCTCAAGATAGCTGGGTAGCAGTGCTTATGCCTGTAATCCCAGCTACTCAGAAGGCTGAGATCTAATGATCTTAGTTCGAAGCCAGCCCAGGCAGGAAAGTTTGTGAGACAATTCATCTCCAATGAACCATCAAACAGTCAAAAGTCGAGTTGTGGCTTAAGCAGTAGAGCACCAGCCTTGAGGGGGGGGAAAAAAAAAAGCTCAGGGGACAGCATGCTGGCTCTGAGTTCAAGCCCCAGGACTGATACAACAAAAATGTGTTTTCAGTGCACTGATGGGCTTGAGATTTCCCAGAATTCCTTCCTTCCACTCCAAGAATATGAAATGTTGCATTGGGTGGTTGAATGTGAAGTGCTGGTGAACAAAACACATCGCCAATCTGAAATGGGTGAGATCGACCTCCGTACTCACTTCTGTCTAAGCCGTGGGAGTCAGTGGGACAAATGGGGACGTTGGCTCTAAGCCAGTAATTAGGGAAAAGCCATCTCTTACAATCTCTTACCCTCTAAACTCTGACAGTTGGTTTATATTTGGGAAACACAGTGTCCCATAGATCAAGGATTTTTTTTAAAGGAAGAGTGAATTCAGAATACAAATGTTATCACGACCAGGAGAAAAGGAATTTATGCCCACTTGAAGACCACACCTTCATTCCCAACTCCTTCCCTCAAAATTCTTCCCGGTCCCTGGCTTTTGTGTTTTGTTCTGCTTTGTTTTCATCAACTGATAAAGCATTATTTTTACCTCACCCCACCACCTGACTTGAGCCAGTTCCAGTCAGAACTCTTAAGTCTTAAAGATAGCCATTGTTGAACCACATCCTAACAAACACTGAGGTAGACTGTGCTGGAGAGGAAAAAAAAATTTTTTTTCATTACCCACATTCACCTGTTTATTTTTCCTTGATAAAAATTTACATGCACTCCTTTTTTTTCTTTTACCAAAGTGATTTTTTTATATATTAAAATAAATACTTTCCCCTCCCCCCATACAAGAAAACCTTTCTGAATTATAAAAAAAAAAAAAAAGTGAAAATTGCTACGAGCGCAATATACAACCACTATGGATTTACTACAAAAAAAAAACAAACAAAATTGCTTAAATCTACATGTGTGTCTTCATTGATGTAAAGACCCTCTTTCTATTTACAAAAGAATTTTGGCGGAAAATAATTTCTGTAACTCTTGCTTCTTGCACTCAATTACTGAGGCTTCCCCACCATTTTTTTTGTTTGCTTTTATTACCATGCTGTCATTTCTCGAGTTATATAAATGAGCTGGCGATAGGTGATTGGAATTTGTGTCTACCTGTGTTCTTGGTGAAGACTGGAGAGAGGGGCTCGGATTTTGTCATTGTCTCTCCATCCACAGGTCTTAACAGAGGGGAAGAGGAGAAGGATACAATCAAGATGCACAAGCTTGTGAGACAATGCACTCACTCCGGTTAAAAACCATAGGCGACGATTTAGATGAACCCCAGATGGTGAGTTCACCGCCTTCGGGACTTGAGCAGCTGCGGTGATTTTTTTTTTCCTGCCAAGAGGAGATACCTATGGATTCACACCTATCCATAAAGTCCTCAATGGCAAATAATAATAATAATAATAATAATAATAAAGGCCATTGGATTGTTTCTCCTCCTGACTTAAGTCTTATGGGGATGACACAAGAAGCACCTAAGAAATGACCCTCAGGCTCTCCACACCTGGCCCAGGGGATGATGGCTACCCCCGAGTACAGAGCAATTCCATCCAGCTATTGTTGTTTTGGGGGGGGATGGGGTGGTGTACCCTTTTATATTGCTTAGTGTTCTCCAGGTCCATCCAGAAGATGAACACAAGGTGTTCTCCAGGAATGGCTCAGCTCCAGCTCACCAACCACCACCAGTTTATTATCCAAGCAGAAAACTTGGCAGCACAAATCTTGATATTCAAACCATTAAAAAAAAAAATCCAGCTGCCCACATTCCAACACTGGGACCTCACAATGTCCACGGAAGGGTTAGCAGCGAACTGTGGCTTGATTCCCAGTCAACAGGTGCCTTTCACAGTCCATAGGGGCCACACCTTGTTCCCTCTCCCCACACAGACCAGTCCCACCCACCCCTCCCCTCCCCCTCTGGAGAAAAGTAATCCTAATAATAACTTAGGGAGGAGAAGTGTGGGGAGATTGCTTCAAAACTTACAGAGGTTACCAAAAGAAAATAAAAATTCGCAACCCTCTTTGTCATCTCAGTCTTTCTATTTTTTCTTTTCCTTCTTCATTTTCCTCTTTTGATGATTAATTTTGTTGTTGTTCTTGTCCTGACTTGATTTGGTCTTCATTTCCTTCGGAACTCTTTTTTTCTTATCACCCCAGGGGAGAGAAGACACCTGTGGCAAGACTTCCAGAAGGAAGTGTAGAGGTCACACTGTCCCAGTAAAGAATAAGAAAGAGGAAATGATGGACACCAGCTTGGAACTAGCAAAGGCACAACCCTTCCTGAAAACCTCATTTCCAAAGGCCAGGCCACCCAGTTTGAAACTCTTCTGAGCATGCCCAGAGGCAACAGACGCACGTGTGGATGAAGACACATGCACACATGCACACGTGGCTGTACCCACGTGCCAGTGTCCTCCTGTCAAAAGTAAGAAAAGAGCAAAAGAGCAGCAGCTATTGGTCAACTTGAGGAACTTGATTTTGTGAACAAGACACAAAAATAATAATAATAATATTAATAATAATAAAATTAAATCCTTCTCAAAGGCCCCACCCTGCAAACTTAGGAATTCTCCTAGAACAGGGTTGTTGTTGCTGTTGGTTTTTCTCTTTTTTTTTTTGCTTTGCTTTGCTTTCAAACATCTGTCTCACAAACAGTTTCTCTCTTACAGTGTAAGCTCAGACACCAGCTTAGAAGGAAGAGGAAAAAAATGTAAAAAACAAAAACAAAAAAAAATAGATGTTTTCTTTTCATCACAACAAAGAAAGGAAGATGAAGAAGAGAATCCTGGTTTGAAATTGTGGAGGCCAAAAAAGGGCAGCAGCTGTGGGAACCGCCCCCCTCCCCCCACTGTCTCTGGGCTCAGAGTTCGCTTCCCCTCCCTCCCCCCCACCCAGGCAACGATCAAAAAGAGGAATAGAAAACGTGTCCCAGCGATCTCTGAGCCCTGTGTCACAGGGGGCAGAGTGAGGAGAATCCTGAGGTTTCTGGAGGCGTCAAACCCAGAGGTCATGGCAAATGGGCACCCCTGCCCCCCCCATATTCCCTGCCCCTTGGGCACTGTTCGTTAGGAAGGATTTGATCTGGGAAGAGTCAGAATCCTCCCATTCTTCTTGCCTCCATTCATGTGGGTGTAAGGGATGTGCTCTTCATAACTCCGCTTCAACCCTAGCGAGGACACTCCGCCCTCCCGGCCCCCTGCCTCTTCCCTCTGACAGTGTGAGGACCGATCCAAGGGTACATTTTCCATATCCCCCTCAAACTCCATCTCCAGCTCCTCATTCTCCGGCCCCTTGTTCTCCTCGCTGTGGAAAAAGGAAACTTCTGGAAAGCTAGGGTGCAGGTCATCCTTGAGCAGGTTGACGATCTCCAGGAAGGTGGGGCGCATTTTGGGGTTGAATTGCCAACACATGTGCATCAAATTGGTGCTGTGGGATGGACAGAGACGGACATATTGGGGATGAGTCTGGGGGGGATCCCCTTCTCCCCCACCCCCTCCCCAAGAGATCTCTTTCCACTCCCCTCTTGGCCTCCTACAACCAGAACTCCAGAGAGGGCCACGTTTGTGGATGATTCTCAAAATAGAAATGGTAAAGCCGATGCTGGTGGCTCATGCCTGTCATCCTAGCTACTCAGGAGGCTGAGATCTGAGGATCGCAGTTCAAAGCCAGCCCGGGCAAAAGTCCGTGAGACTCTTATCTCCAATGAACCACCAGGAAACCAGAAGTGGCGCTGTGGCTCAAGTGGTAGAGCGCTCGCCTTGATCTGAAGAGCTGAGGGACAGCACCCAGTTCAAGTCCCATGACCAACACACACACAACTAGGAATGGTAATTCTGTCAGGGCTGGGAATGGTTGGGGCCAAATAACATTGTCTCATTTCCAAGCCACGTTCCACGTCATCTGACACCTGCCTGGTCCCCAGCACCTTCAGGCACTCATTTCCTGTCAGAAGTTTTCCTCCAGCCTGGGATCAGTTTGGAAAGACTGACTCTCTGCCTGCCAGCTGCATCTAGGCTTAAAGACCTTCCAGGTTGGGATGCTGGAGCCAACCCCCCCCCCATCAGATACAGCTCAGGGGACTTGAACCAGAGAGCCAGCTAGCTCTAAGTGGACAGGCCCACAGTCTAGCCTTCCTCTCTGGGGGCGGGAGTGGGGAGCGGGGAATTAAGGGGAGGGAAGAGGAGATCTTTGGGATGGAACCAGCCCTTGCCTGGAGTGTCTATACCATGCAGTGTCTACACCATGGAGACCCACTTAGGACACAGTGGTAAACAAGAAAGCAAAAACTGGACATCCTTTTTTGTTTTTTGCTTTTTGCCTACTACTAGGGCTTGAACTCAGGGCCTGGGTGCTGTCCCTGAGCTTTTTTGCTACAAGGCTGGTGCTCTACCACTTGAACCACTGCTCCACTTCTGGCATTTTGGTGATTCACTGGAGATAAGTGTCTCATGGACTATCCTGCCTAGGCTGGCCTTCAACTGCTAACCTCAGATCTCAGCCTCCTGAGTTAGCTAGGATGACAGGCGTGAGCCACCAATGCCTAGCAAAAAAAAATTTTTTTAGTTAAACATATAAAAATAAAAATAAATGAAATAAAAAGATTGAAACAAATTTAAAACAAAACAAGATGTCATGCGCAAACACAAGCATGCATGTAGACACACAATACACAAACCCAAACCCGAACAAGTAAAAGGAGCTGTCTCCCATGAGTACTTACACTCTCTCCGGACAATTGTCAGGCTGATCTAAGTACCCTCCATCCATGACGAATTTCAACACCTGTTCATTAGACAGGCCTTGGTAAGGCTGTTCGGCTAAACTGGTGATTTCCCAGAGGACCACACCAAAGGACCTACCAATGACAATTAGGAGTAATTAACAGAAACCAATCAAACACACACACACATACACACACACACACACACACACACACACACACACACACACACACACACACACACACACACACACACACACACACACACACAGCACTAAAACCCAGCTGACCAATGAATAAACTACTTCATGTTGCCAAATTCACAAATTCCCTTATTATTCTCAATCAGAACATAACAGTATGGGGCTGGGAAGGTGGCTCAGTGGTAGAGCGCTTGCCTTGCATGCCTGAGGCCCTGGGTTCGATTCCTCAGCACCACATAAGAAAAAAGCCAGAAGTGGCACTGTGGCTCAAGTGGTAGAGCGCTAGCCTTGAGCTGAAGAGCTGAGGGACAGCGCCCAGGCCCAGAGTTCACTGGGCCCACAACTGGACCCAAAAAAAAAACAAAAAAAAACCAGAACATAACAGTATCCTTGGGCAGAACCCCAAGACAGTACATTCCCCTTCTTTCTTTCTGCTGATACTGGGGTTTGAATTTAAGAGTTCATGCTTACTCCGCTGGTGCTCTACCACTTGAGCCATGCCTTCAGTCTGCCATTTTGTGGGTTAACTGGAGATCAGAGTCTTAGACTCCCCACCACCCCACCCTGGACTGACTTGGAGCTTGATCTTCCAGGTCTCAGTCTCCTGAGTAGCTGGGATTACTGGCATGAGCTACTAGGTGAAGAAATATGAGGAAGAAGGTATTTTTCCCCCATCTCCTCCGCCTGTTGAATTAGCAGAACACCTGGAATTCAAACCCAGCAACACCTGTCTCCCAATTACCATGCACAACTTACCACATATCTGAGGAAGCAGTGAAGACCCCATCCTTCAGGGATTCGGGTGCCATCCACCGCACAGGTAGCAGGCCCTTGCCCCCCTTCCGGTAGTAATCCATTTCGTAGATGTCTCTGGTCATTCCAAAGTCTGACAAACAAAAAGATCACACGCTCTCAGACTTCAGCCCCTCATCTAAGCATCTGCCATCTTGTCTTCCCTACCTCTCACAGGGCCTCAGGGAGACTGGCCCCCAAGTGTGTGATCATCTGGATGGTGGCCCAGTCCAGTGAGAATAGATTGGGGTTTTTGGTCAGTTGTGGGGCTATAACTCTGGGCTTGGGCGCTGTCCCTGAGCTCTTTTGCTCAAGACTGGTGTTCTACCACTTGAGCCACAGCTCCAGTTCCAATTTTCTGGCAGTTCACTGGAGATAACAGTCTCACGGACTTCCCTGACCAGACCGGCTTTGAACCATGATCCTCAGATCTCAGCCTCCTGAGTAGCTGGGATTACAGGCTACTGGTAATAGGCCCATCTTAACTTTGTTGTAGAGAGAGTTGTTTTCTGAGCTGGACTGGTTCCTCTCTATATCAGGAAGTTATTTTCTTCACCACTCTTTGCAATGTCTTCTCATCTTGTTGATTTAAGTATAATTTCCTTTAGGATTTTCCCAGGTTATCTATGATGAACAATGTGGTCCGCCTTTCAATATGGTACCCACAAGGCTATGGAATACCCGAACTGTAACCACTGACATTAATGGATGGAATTCTACTTGGACTTCACTTCTATTCATTTCAGTGAAGACGGCCATGTGGGACCAGACTATGCCCCAGAGCATACAGATTAAAAACTCCAAGTTAAATGGGGGCAGAACATGGTGACTTCTTCTAGGTGACAAGCACCTAATGGGTAAACACATTTTTGAGAAAGTGAATGAGGCTATCAGTAAATGCAATTAGCTGGGCGCCAGTACCTCACACCTGTCATTCTAGCTACTCAGGAGGCTGAGACCTGAGGATTGTGGTTCAAAGCCAAGCCTGGGCAGGAAAGTCCATGAAACTCTTACCTCCAAATAACCACCCAAAAACTGGAAGTGGTATTGTGGCTCAGAGTGGTAGAACAACAAGCCTTGAGCAAAAAGAGCTCAGGGACAGCACCCAGGCCCTGAGTTCAAGCCCCACGACTGACACTAATTCATTATTGTATGTATGTATGCAATTAACTGGTGGTTAGGACCCCACCCCCAACTCATTCCCTCTGGGACTCTCAGAATAAGATTTTTAGAGCTTGTTATAGGAAAAAATCCTCTGGAAATCAAACCCCACCCAACCCAGGTTGCTCAGTTCAAAGCAGAAAGGGCAATTAAGATGCACCTCCAGGACTGGGAAGGTGGCTTTGTGGTAGAGTGCTTGCCTAACATGCATGAAGCCCTGGGTTCCATTCCTTAGTACCACATCTACCAAAAAAGCTAGAAGTGGTGCTGTGGCTCAAGTGGTAGAGTGTTAGTCTAGCAAAAGCAGCTCAGGGACAGTGCCCAGGCCATGAGTTCAAGCTCCAGGACTAGCAGGGAAGAAAAAAAAAAAAAAGAGACGCACCTCCAATTTTGACAGTAAAATCGTGGGCAACCATGCAGTTTCGTGCAGCCAGGTCTCGGTGCACAAACTTCTTGGCATTCAGGTAGGCCATGCCGTCAGCAATCTCTCCTGCCATCTGAATCATCTCTTGCAGCGTAGGGGGTGGGCGACCCGGGTTATTCTGTAATGAAAAATGGGGTGGAGGGGGGAGGGAGGATTTGTTATGTTTAAGAATACTGGAAGCCAGAGCCAGGAGTGGGAGCCCGACTTGGTATCTGGAGCTAAGCTCACCTCGGAGTCTGGCCTCAGAGATCGGAGGTAGCTCTTCAGGTCTCCTTGAGCCATCAGTTCCATCACCACCAGTGTGGGCTGGCCCTTGGACACCACGCCCAGGAGGCGGACCTGTGGGGCAGGCATGGGCGGTGGGGATTGCTCCCATCACAGTCTATCATTTCAGCTCTTCTGCCTGGAGCCTGCACAGTGCTCCCAGCATCTTGCAGCTATATGGAGTGAGCTCAACCACCCCAATCTCGGGGTATAAACAGACCCTGCCCACCTGCAGGACATCTCAAGGCTAATCTCAGCTCCTTCACACTCCCAGTGGCTCACACCTGTGATCCTAGCTACTCAGGAGGCAGAGATCTGAGAAAGCCCAGATCTGAGAGCCCAGGCAGGAAAGTCAGTGAGACTTTTCTTGTTTTCTGTTTTTGTCCGTCATGGACGTAGGCACTGTCCCTGAGCTCTTTTTCACTCGAAGGCTAGCACTCTACCACTTTGAGTCACATCACCACTTCTGGTTTTTCTGGTGATTAACTGGAAGTAAGAGTCACCTGGACTTTCCTGCCTGAGCTGGCTTTGATCCACAATCCTCAGATCTCTGTCTTCCTGAATGGCTAGGATTACAGACATGAGCCACCTGCACCCAGGCAGTGAAACTCTTCTCCACCCACACCCCCCCCCCAAAAAAAAGCTGGAAATGGAGCTGTAGTTCAATAATAGAGTGTAGTTTTGAGCAAAAGAAGCTCATAGACAGCATCTAGCCCCTGACTTCAAGCCCCAGGACCAGCATTACATATACTCCCGACAAATATCCATATTCTCACACAAGCCATGCTTCTACCTCCAAATCTCTGCATCCACTTTCCTGCTGTTGGGTGCTCTGTCTCTTCCCATGTCCACGGAAGTTGGTCTCTCACATTTTTTAGTCTTTGCTTAAGTATATCAACCTCCCCCTTCTCTCCTCTCTCTTTTCCTATTTCCACTGCCTTTTCTCTAAAACATAATTCACATATTGGGTTTCGAATCCGTCTCCACTGCCTGGGACCCAGTCCACAAGGACAGAAATCTGTTGCAAGCCAAGGACAACAGAGGAACTTAGGAGTCCCATACATATGGATGGTAAGGATGAAAGGGTACAGACCCCAACAAGAACACAAAGACAGAGAAAGCTTATACCAGCTTCTGGAAGAAATAGAAAGCAGACCTCCATGTAGTTAAGGGTTACACATGAGCCAAGAAGAGGGAAGAGACAGAAGAGTCTGGAAAACAAAGAAAGATTTTAGAAAGAGACAGAAGATTCTGGGAAGCAATGGAAGATCCTGGATAATGATGAGAGTCTCAGAAAGCAAGATTCTAGGAAGTGATGGAAGGTTCTAGAAAGTGAAGGGAGATTCTGAAAGTCTAGAAAGCAAGGGAAGACTTTGGAAAGCAATGAAAGATTCTAGAAAGCAAGAGGAGTTTCTAGAAAGTGATGGAAGAGTCTAGAGGTGATAGAACATTCTAGAAAGTGATGGGAGATACTCCAAAGCAGATTCTGGAAAGCAAGTGAAGATTCTAGCAAGTGAAGGAAGTTTCTGTGAAGCAATGGAAGATTCTGCGAAGCATGGGAGACCCTCAAATGAGAGTCCGGAAAGCAATGGAAGATGCTAGAAAGCCAGGGAAGTTTCTGGAAGATCAAGATTCTCAAAAGTGGTAGAAGATTCTGGAAAGTGACATGAGAAAAGCAATGGAGGACTCCAGAGAGCAAAGGAAGATTCTAGAAAGTGATGAGTGAAGATTCTGGAAAGTGATGAGAGTCTTAGAAAACAAAAGAATATTCTAAGAAGTGATGGGAAGATTCTGGGAAGCTACAGAAGCTCCTCAAATGAGAGAGTCTAGAAAGCAATGGAAGATTCTAGAAAGCCAGGGAAGTTTCTGGAAGGTGAAGATTCTGGAAGGCGATGGAAGATTCTGGAAAGTGAAGAGAGGAAAGCAATGGAGGACCCCAGAAAGCAAAGGAAGATTCTGGAAAGTGGTGAGTGAGTGATGAGTTTGGTACCAGGTGAGGTGGGAGAGGATGAAATATGGAAGGGCAAGACCCCCATGGCCTCACATCTTGGGCATGGGAGGTTTATTTAGGAGGATGTGGGGCATGCAGGGGTCCATGTCCAGTGTCCTGGATGGGCTCAGTGCTGTTTGCACAGAAGCCTTCGTCCCCTCCCGCCCGCACTCACCACGTGGTGACAGGTGAAGCCCTTCATGACCGAAGCCTCGTTGAGGAACTCAATGCGCTCCCGCAGACTGGCCGCCTCATTGACCGTCTTCACCGCCACACGGGTCTCCGCCTCGCCCTTGATGATGTCCTTGGCATTGCCCTCGTACACCATACCGAAGGAGCCCTGGCCCAGCTCCCGAAGGAGGGTGATCTTGTCCCGGGGCACTTCCCACTCGTCCGGCACGTACACAGAACATGGAAAAACTACTTCTCACTTATCCACACGGTGTCTCGGCCCACCCAGACACCTCCCAACATAGCTGGAGCCCCCCCAATCCATCCTCCTGCCATCCAAGGGGCACCCAAAATCCATCCATCCTACTATCCAGGATCTCTCTCTCTGTCTCTCTCTCTCTCTCTCTCTCAATTTCTCTCCCTTTGCTGAGCACTGAGCTTAGAGCCCAGCATGAGGCAGGCATCCACGGCTAACACAAAGATTCAGCTCATCTCCCCAAATCAACCTGGTCCAAATCCTGGCCCTAAGTGCACAGCATGGCCGAATCCCTGGCCTTCTATCCATTCTCAGGTTCCCCCACTACTTCCTGTTGGCTCTGATGATTTGCCAACTGTGCCGTAGGAGTTGGGATGGAGAGAAGGGAAAGGAAGTCGGTTCACAAAAATGCCAAAAAGGCATATACATCTGTGTATGCTTTTAGATGTGAAAATGCATGTCATTTCTATAGAGAAAAATAAATAAATACTTAGGAAATTATAGACAATGTGGGGGAAAAAAACTGCCCAAGATACTTAGCAGCCCATCCCGCCAAGGGATGGATTCTACAAGGATTGCTTCGGTTGATGGGAGACAATCCAAGATGAGAAGATGGGAAGGGGCTTTGCCCTGGCACTTTCCCACCCTGGTTGCTAGGAATCTATACAAGAATCCCAGGCTGGACCTTGAGAGATGAGAAGGGAAAAGGGAGGGAGAGATGGAGGCTCAGCCATGCCTGGAGACCACCAGCCTGCAGATGACTAGCCATATCCAAGCCCTAAAACAATGGTCACTATCCCACAATTAGGTCCTTTGAAGCCAGGCAAACAGAGTGGCTCACGCCTGTCATCCCAGCTACTCAGGAGGCTGAGATCTGAAGATTGTGGTTAGAAGCCAGCCAGGGCAGGAAAGTCTATGAGAGTCTTATCTCCAATGAACCACCAAAAGAAAGGTAAAAGTAGAGCTGTGGCTCAAAGTGGTAGAGCACTAGCCTTGAGCAAAAAAAGCTCAGGGACAGCATCAGGTCCTGAGTTCAAGCTGGCAAGTACACACACACACACACACACACACACAAACGGACTACCATGAAGGAAGGGCAAAGGACTCACCATCACTGGCACTGAGATACTCAGGATTTGAAGAAGCATATAGTGGTCCCATTGGCCCATCCGGCTGCCTGGAGGAGAAAGACAGGGAAACACAAGCTTGAGATTCTTGTAGAACTCTGTAGAACTGGCCAACATGTGAATATTTACACCCCATGGAAATAGGCAACAACTACAACTCAGGAATTGCTATAAATGAGTCTTGTTTTCCAAACTTGAGAAAACAAGAATGTATAGGAACTTACACATCTTATTTCTGTCTTATTCTCTAATGCAAAATGTTAATCAAGCTGAGTTTGGTGGCACATGCCTATAATCCCAGCACTTAAAAGGCTATATGCCAAGAAGACTGTGAGCTCCAGGTCAGTATAGACTAAATAGTGAGACCTTGCTGTCTATTAAAAACAAACAGGGGCTGGGAAGGTGGCTCGGTGGTAGACTGCTTCCCTTTCATGCATGAGGCCCTGGGTTCTATTCCTCAGCTCCACATAAGCAGAAAAAAGCCGGAAGTGGTACTGTGGCTCAAGTGATAGGGCGCTAGCCTTGGGCTGAGATCTGAAGATCACAGTTCAAAGCCAGCCAGGACAAGGAAGCCCCTAAGACTCTTATCTCCAATTCATCACAGAAGAAGCCTAAAATGGTGCTGTGGTTCCAGCCCGGAGGAAAAGAAGCTCAGAGGCAGCATCCAGGCCCATAGTTCAAGCCCCAGGAATGGCCAAAAAGAGAAAGAAAAGAAAGAAAACCAAAAATCAATTAACATCTACATTAATAGCCATCTTAGGCTGGTCATAGGTACAAAGATTTTATGGAAGACAAATAAAAACTCTCAGTGAGAATCAATGAACTACAAAGAATTTTGTATAACAGTGTTGTAAATGAGAGGCCGAGCTTAGTGGTACATGCCTATCATCCCAGCTACTCAGAAGGCACAGACAAAAGAATTATGGCTTGACACCAGTCTGGGCAAAAAGTTAGCAAGGCCCTTATCTTAAACAAGCCAGGCATGATTACACATGCTTATAATCCCAACAACTTGGGAGGCGGTAGAGACAGAGGATGGCAATCCAAAGCTAGGCCGGGGCAAAAGCATGAGACCCTATCTAAAAAACTAAAGCAAATAAAGGGAGCTGGGAGTGTGGCGCCAACACCGTATCGCCATGTAATTCATCCCATCTCAGTAAAGTCTGTGAACATACTCCAGTTATGCCTGCACCTGTTCCTAGGCACTTGTTTTCTGTCAGTTTGGGGTTTGGGGTGGGGAGGGGTGTCTACCTCTTTCTGAGGAACAGGTAAATGCTTCCGATCACACCGCTGAAGAGGAAGACGAAGATGAGCGGGCCGATGATGATTTTCGCAAGGTTGGATGGGACGTCTACTGAAATAGAGGAGAGAGGAAAAATAACTAACTGACTCGCATCAAAACGTGTTTACCTCAGATTTCACATCACAAATCCCACTCTCCTGGCCATGCTGTGGCCCTGTCTGTCTGTCTGTCTCCGTCTGTCTCTCTGTCCATTTCTCTCTCGTCAAGTGGTAGAGCACTAGTCTCTCAGTCTGTCCTATCTCTCTTTCTCTTTCTGTGTGTTAAGGCAATCCAGGCACAAAGTTTGTGAGATTCTACCCCCATTCTTAACAAATAACAAACCAAGCAAGACATGGCGGTAGAGACTTACAATAATCTGTCACGTAGAAATAAGTAGGTTCGGTCCAGGAGCCGTTGCCGGCCAATGAGGTGGCCCGGATGCGCACACTGTAGTTGCCAGGGGGCAGCCCTCGCAGCCGGCATCCCTGCTCCAGGGCAAAATGCTTTCGGGAGACGCAGAGGTGAAGCTCCTAGAAAGAGGGAACAAAGGACCCACGGGGTAAGGTGACAGCCTTGTTGTCTGAGAAGCACAAAAGTGGAGTCAGGAGCCAGGCATCAGGCCTGCATCCCTGACTTGCTTTATCAGCAGCCTCCAGCGATGAGCAAGAAAACTGGACTTCAGATGGGGGCTGCAGGCCAGGACCTGAGAGTAAATACTCCCAACTCACAGATCAGACTCAACTTTGCACAGAAACAGCCACAGAGAAATCCATCAACATACACAAGGGAGCAGTATAGGAGCCAGGCACTGTGGCTCAGGCCTATAATCCCAGCTACAGGGGAAGCCGAGATCTAAGGATCGTGGTTTGAAGCCAGCCAGCCTGGGCAGGTAAGTCTCTAATTAGCCAGTAAAAGCAAGGCTGGAGGCTTGGCTTAAGCATAGAGCACTTAACTAGCAAGCTTGAGGCCTTGAGTTCAATTCCCCCAAACTTCCCTTAATCTCCCCCAAAATATTTCATAGCTCACGAGGGGGGGGAGAAGGAGGAGGAGGGGAAGGAGGGGGAAGAATATCAGGAGGCCCCACTTGGCTCACAGAGTAGAGTTTGCTTAAAAGATTAGTTCACTTCAACTTGATCAAACAAAATTCTAGAGCTGAGAAGCAACCAGGGGCAAAAATTGAACTCGGAACTCTTACCCCACACCCCTCCCCCAAAGTCAGGCAGGTGGCAAACAAGAGGACCCCCATCGAGGCAACATCCAAGAACAAATAGGCCGGGCACTGATGGTTCATGGCTATCATCCTAGCTACTCTGGAGGCTGAGATCTGAGGATTCTGGTTCAAAGCCAAGCTGGGCAAGAAAGACCATGAGACTCTTATCTCCAATGAACCACCAAAAAAGCAGGAAGTAGAGCTGTGGCTCAAGTGGTAGAGCTCCAGCCTTGAGGGAAAAAGCTCAGCGAGGGCATCTAGGCCCTGAGTTCAAGCCCCAGAACCCACACACATAGATAATAAGTAAACAGAATTTGGCATTTTTCCAAGTGTCTGCAAGGACTGAATATAAAGCAAAGGACACGCATGCCCAGTGCAGACAGGGAAGTGGAGGTGAGCCAGAACTAATCAGGAGAGAGGCTCACTGAGGAAAGCGGGTCAAACCGGTTAGCAGCCAACCAGAACTTGGAAAACTTTGCCCAACCGTTTCAAAGTTAACCGGGTGTGCAGAAAGCCCAGCTTGGAAACTGGCAAGGGGTGGAGAGAAGAAATGTTACACGTCTCAACGCCCATGTTTATCCTGCCAGGTGACTGGAGCTGGCAAACAGGAGACAGGGAGCAAAGGTTCAAATGTACAAATTCTCGAATGTTTACTACAGGCAACTCCAGGGGGTGGGGAGGCAAGAAGGAAACAGGGTGGAAAGATCTAGAATCTGCCCCAGTTGATCTCCATGGAGGCAAAGAGCAAAGTAAGAATTGAAACCCAATCAATGGTGAAGGAGCTAAATGCTCTCTGTCTGTCTGTCTGTCTGTCTGTCTCTCTCTCTCTCTCACACACACACACACACACACACACATACACACACACACACACATATTGTAATCTGACACCAATAGCTCATGCCTGTAATCCTAACTACTCAGGAGACTTAGATCTGAGGATCAAGGTTCGAAGCCTGCCCAGACAGGGAAGTCCACGAGACTCTTACTGCCAATAAACCATCAAAAGAGCCAAAAGGTGGAACTATAAGTGGTAGAGCACTAGCCTTGAGCAAAAGAAGCCCACGGACAACACCCAGGACTGAGTTCCAGCCCCAGGACTGGCACCAAAAAAAGATAATAATAGTAAGGACTGGGAAGGTGGCTCAGTGGTAGTATGCCTGCCTTGCATGCATGAGGCCCTGGGTTTGATTCCTCAGCACCACACAAGCAGAAAAAGCCAGAAGTGGTACTATGGCTCAAGTGGTAGAGCACTAACCTTGAGCTGAAGAACTGAGGAATAGCGCCCAGGCCCAGAGTTCAGGCCCCACAACTGACACAATATAAAAATAAAAATAAAAATAAGGAAGCTAAAGAAAATGTTGATCTAAAAAGATAATATTAATGAATAAAAATAATAAAAATAATAAATATAGCCAGCCCTGGTGGCTCAAGCCGGTAAGCCTTAGCTACTCAGGAGGCTGAGATCTGAGGACTGCAGCTCAAAGCCAGCCTGGGCTGGAAAGGTCTTGAGACTCTTATCCCCAATGAACCACAGAAACCGGAAATGGCTCTGTGGCTGTGGTTCAAGTGGTAGAGCGCTAGCCTTCAGCAAAATAGCTCAGGGACAGCACCCAGGCCCTGAATTCAAGCCCATGACCAACAACAAACAAGCAAATCTATCTTTGGTCTTTTTAGGAAAATAACAATAGTAATAACAACAACGTCATCAATCTTTGTCCAGCTTGGAAGATTCAGGAAAAACAGAAAAGCTTATAGGCTGACACTTCCTTTTTTCTTCCCGCGTGTGTGCGTGTGCGTGCGTGTGTGTGTGTGTGTGTGTGTGTGTGTGTATGTGTGTGTGTGTACACATGCCAGTAATGGGGTTTGAACACAGGGCCTGAATATTACCCCCTTCGCTTTTTTTCTAAGCTCAAGGCTAGGTAGTTCTCTCATCCCTTAAACCACAGATCCATTTCTGGCTTTTTTTCTTCTATTTTTTGTTTTCTGGTTAACTGCAGATAAAGAGTCCTTGGGATTTTTCTGCCCAGGAGGGCTTCAAACCATGATCCTCCAGATCACAGCCTCTTGAGTACACAGTGAGGATGACAGGCGTGTACCCGGCCAGGCCGGCGGCTGGAGGCCATCTCCTGACGGGCTGACCGGACAGCCAGGGGTCTATGTTTCGGTGACCCGGGCTCCGGGGAGGGAAGCGTGACGCTGGGGGCTGGAAAGGCCTCACCTCATCGCCGTACCGCCGGTAGCTGACTTCATACAGCACGATCAGGCCGTTGGGCTCCTTGGGCTCCTGCCAGGTCAAGTGCACAACGTTGTTCTCGAAGATTTCGTGGGTCACGGGGCCGACGATGTCATCCGCCTTGGCTGCAGGATGATGAAGTCTGGGTGTCAGATCGCACCCCGCCCCCGGCCCTGCCTGCCCCAGGGACAGGATCCTCCAGAGGGGTGTCTCCTTCCTCGTTCATCTTCCGGAGCTTGCCTGGGAACCCCAGCAGGGTGGCTACCGCTCCGGCCACGCCCACTGCCTAGCCACGTCCTGATAAGCCACGCCTCTCCTCTGGCCACACCCAGACACGCCCCCACTACCGAGACATGCCCCCTTTGTGGAGCCACGCCCCCACCACTATAAAGCATCGCCGTTCTGCTGAGCCACACCCCCAACGCTTAACCCCGCCCCTTCCGACCGAGCCACACCCCCACCGCTGAGCCCCTTCACTTAGGCCACTCCCCCACCATTGAGCCACACCTCCTGTCTGCTAGCGGGGCTCTTGCCTTACTGAGGACCCAGGCTGGCCTGGGGCTTCAGGCTCCTTACGCAGGGCCTGGAAAGTAGACCTGAGCCACGGGTCAGTGCTTGTGTTTGTTGTTTTTCTTTTTTGTCCGGTTGTGAGGCTTGAACTAGAGTCCCTTCACTCTTTTGCTCAAGGCTAGGGCTCTACCAGTCACAGCTCCACTTCTGGTTTTCTGGTGGTTCATTGGAGATAAATCCCATGGACTTTCCTGCCTGGGTTGGCTTTGAACTGCGATCCTCAGCTCTCAGCTTCCTGAGTAGCTAGGATGATAGGCATGAGCCACCAGCGCCTGGCTTAATATTTCATTTTTTAAAATTAATTTATTTTATGGTTATTATAGAGGTAATCTCTCAACCCACGAGTTGTATAGTTTACCTTCTCCCACATAATACTTCATTTTTAATCCACTCTTTTTCCTCCTCTCCTTCCATTTTTATTCTCTTTCTGTTATAATTAGATCCACTTTTCCTCTCTTAATTACCTGCTTTTGTCATCTTTCATCATTCCTGCTCTCTCGTTCTTATTTTCATTGTTTCAGCTGACTTTGTGTTTGTCTTTCTTCCTTACTCCTCTATCTGGTAGGATGACCTTGTCCCTTCTACTTTCTATCTCCTTTCCTCCTAGCTCTCTAGTGCTATTCTCTAGGGTTGTTTTTGTTTTCTTGCTATTCCTGCCCAAGCCAATAGCTTCTTAGCTCAAGCATTATCTGTTATAGGAGTGGTGGCTATTTTTGTTTTAGGTTTTGTGTGTGCACTAGTACTGGGGCTTGAACTCAGGGCCTCACATTCTCACTTGGCTCTGATATTCAAGGTTGGTGCTCTACGACTTGAGCCAGGCTTTGTTTGAGAAAAAAATTTTTTAAACTATGCCTTTTTTTCCTTTTTTGCCTTGAATATAAAAAAAGCTGAGGAACTGAGCCAGAACCCTGATTTCAAGTGCCAGTACAAGAACAAACAAAAAAAGCTAGCAGGGGTGGCTCATGCCTGTGATCCTAGCTACTCTGGAGGCTGAGAGCTGAGGATCGCAGTTCGAGACCAACCTAGGCAGGCAAGTCCATGAGATTCTTACCTCCAATGAACCACCAGAAAAACAGAAGTGGTGGTGTGGCTCCAAGTGGTGGAGCTCTAGCCTTGAGCGAAAAAGTTCAGGGACAGCACCCAGGCCCTGAGTTCAAGCCCCACAACTACCACCAACAACAAAAAAGACTTCATTTCCAATTAACCAGCAAAAAACAGGGCTGATGACATGGCTCAGGTTGTAGGGTACCAGGCATAAATGAGCATATAACATATATGTGTGTATGGATATAGATATAGATATAGAAGAGGGCTGCACCTTCGGGCATGGTCCGGGCGCTGACATAGGCGGCCACGCTGCACCTCTCCTCCGGGGCGTCTTGGTTGCAGGCCTGCAACTCGATGCGGTAGCCGGTGAAGTGACGCAGGCCAGAGATGACCAGCGACTCCTTGTTCACAACTTTCTCGACGGGCCGGGGTGGCTCCTGGGTGGTGGGCACCACGGTGGAGGAGACGTTGGGGAAAATCGGGATGACAGGCGGCATCATGGTCACATTCACCACGTCCCCGAGAGACCTGCGCTTCCTGGATGGCCTGGAGTGACAGGAAGACACGGGGAAGGGGGAGGGACAGGGTCACAACTTCACCTTCGTGAAAGGAAAGGAAGCGGGAGAGACGGCGGCATGGCAAGGGAAGAGCAGGTTGCAGACTGCACAGAAATAAAATTACCACCAGGAGAAGAAGCTTTCAGGTTATTACTCTGATATTTCAGTATCACAGCCCGTGGCCCCAGGGCCATTTGCTTGATTAACCAAGGTGCTGATTTGCTCCAAATAATCACCAGGGTTAGTTTGGAAATAGAGATGAGATACGAGCTGGGTGCTGGGGTATATGGGGGGGGGGGGGGGAACGAGGGAGAACCTCACATTTGTCATCTTAGTTACTCAGGGGACAGCGATCGGGAAGATCGCAGTTCCAAGCCAGTCCAGGCGAAAGAAGTTCACAACGCCTCATCTCAACAGAAAGGGCCAAGTGTTGGGACACACACCCAGCTATGGCGGGAAGTAGGAGCAGAGGAATCATAAAACCAGGCTGACCCAGGTTCAACTAGAACACTATGTAGCCCAGGACAGTTTTGAATTTGAGGTCTACCTGTGTCAGACTCTTGAAGGCTGGGACCACAGGCTTATGCCACCACACCCAGCTCATCTTCCTATATATATGTTTTGTTTTGGTTTGGTTTTTTTTTTGGGGGGGGGGAGAATCCATCATGGGGCTTGAACTCTGGGCCTGGGTGCTGTCCCTCAGCTCTTCACCTCAAGGCTAGCGCTCTACCACTTGAGCCACAGCACCACTTCCAGTTTTCTGATGGTTCACTGGAGACAAGAATTTCGTGGACTTTCCTGCCTAGGTTGGCCTCGAACTGCGATCCTCAGACCTCGGCCTCCTGAGTAGCTAGGATTATAGGTGTGAGCCACCGGTGCTCAGCCCTTTTTTTTTTTTTTTAAATTTTAATCAGAGTATTCTCTTGGAGGCCGAATGATAGGATACATGCTCTGGGTTTGATTTTTTTTTTTAATTTTAAGAGCATTTCCATTTTTTTTCCTACCATAATATTGCTCTGCTGATTGATATCTTATTAGTTTTCAAATGTTGATCAGTGGGGGGGAAAAGTCACTAAATTAAAGGAAATAGGAAACATTTTACACTTCATAATCCACCATGGCTACATTTGTTATCTAGAAACATTGTAACAATTCGTGGGCTGACCTACAGGGAGCTCACCAAATTCAGCAAAACTAGAGGTTAAAAAATTGGATTAGAGGGGCTGGGAAGGTGGCTCAGTGGTAGAGCGCATGCCTTGCATGCCTGAGGCCCTGGGTTCCATTCCTCAGCACCACATAAACAAAAAGAAAAAAGCCGGAAGTGGCGCTGTGGCTCAAGTGGTAGAGTGCTAGCCTTGAGCTGAAGAGCTGAGGGACAGCACTCAGGCCCAGAGTTCAGGCCCCACGACTGGACCCCCCCAAAAAAAAATTGGATTAGAGGGTGGGACCTAGGGCTCACACCTTTTATCCTAACTATTCAGGAGGCTGAGATCTAAGGATCACAGTTCAAAGCCAGCCTGGGCAAGAAAGTCAGTGAGACTCTTATCTCCAATGAGGCAGAAAAAAGCCAGAAGCAGAGCTGTGGCTTGAGTGGTAGAACAGTAGCCTTGAGCAAAAAAGCTCAGGGACAACACCCAGGCCCTGAGTTCAAGCCCCAAGAGTGGCCCAAAAAAAGAAAGGAAGGAAGGAAAGAAGGGAGGAAGGGAGGGAGGGAAAAAGAGGAAAGAAAAAAAAAAAAACATTGGGTTGCATTTGATTAGTTTGTTTTCCAGATTTTCAACCTGAGAGATGAAATATACGGTATATTTGGACTGTTTTGATTGCAGTGCTTTTAATTGTGTATGAATGTGTGTGTGTGTGTGTGTGTGTGTGTGTGTGTGTGTGTGTGTGTGTGTGTGTGTGTGTGTGTGTGTGTGTGTTGGTTCTGGGGCTTGAACTCTGGGCCTGGGTGTTGTCCCTGAGCTTTTTTGCTCAAGGCTAGTGCTCTACCACTTGAGCCACAACGCCACTTCCAGCTTTTTACTGGTTAATTGGAGTTAAGAGTCTCACAGACTTTCCTGCTCAGGCTGGCTTTGGACCTCAATCCTCAGATCTCAGGCAAGAGCAACCGGTTCTGGCATACTGAGTTTTTATGGCAGTTATGACAGGAATCACTCGCTTATTTCATATTTCAATTATGGCAAGTGGATCTGCTTGGGGCAGCTATTTCCGGATAGGCCTCCTTAATCTAAACCCAAAACAGGTTGTTGACAGGGCACTTGGCTCTCAGAATCTGAAGGCCTCACTGTCTGGCCCTCCAGGATGACAATGAACTAGAAGGTTCTATGCTTACCTTTTTCTAGCACGCTCCCTGATAAACCAACCATGTTTAGAGTTTATCCACCAACTTCACGGTGGACCAAAGGGACCAATCACAGGAGCCGTGACTCCATCCCAGGCGACTCCCTGGCCAGCAATGCTGCTGCTTAGAGCCCAGGATGGGGTGCACACACAGATTGGTCTCAGCCAGGGGTGATCCCAGAAATCCAGCTTCATTGAGACCCAGACAAAACCCTGTTTTTTCTCCACCACCTGTTATGCTCAAAATGACCATTAGGGGGCAGAGCGGATCACACAGGTAACACCTGGCCTAACAAACCTAATTCAGGAGCTGGTAGCTCACACCTGTCATCCCAGCTACTCTGGGGACTAAGGGAGATATTCACATTTTTGTTTTTCACCTCAGCCTTCCTGCACCTAGTAGGCGCTCCTGGAGTGTGCCAGACCTGCTGCTGCATGGATCTCAGGCTGCGGATGTAATCCTAGTAGAGGTAAACTGAGGCATGGGAGGGACCCAGGAAATCCTCCTTCGATTCTAATTTTTTGTTTTCCTTTTTAGGAAGAGTGTGTTAGTTCATTCTTTCTCTCCACCCCCACCCCCTTATTCATGCCCAGATTCCGTTTTGATAGGAAGACATTGAATGGGTGAATTTGGGAAGCATCTGACAAGACAGCCCGTCATGCAGAAAGCTACAGGAACCCCTGTGTGGCACTGAGCAGCCACAGGGTGAGGGGGGCCATGAGGACGTGGCCAGGCTGAATCATACCTAGAATCTTCTACACCATTGCCTGAAGAGGCTTTTCTGTAAAAACAAACAAAACGAAAATCAAACACTTTTGAGGCCAGACACAGCATCATCCAACTGGACTCTGCCACTCGGAAACCACGTCAGGATGAGGACAGGGGTTGAGTACAGCTTCCCAGGAATTTAGAAAATATTTGGTAGGCAGGATGGCAAATAAGGGGTAATGGACCCTTTAAGGGGTAGAGCCTAAGTGTGACCTCATCATCAGGCCCCGCCCCCTGTTCCTCATTGGCTTCCCCACTGACATCATATGATGCAGCCAGGGTGACCTTGGCTCTTGGGCTCCCCAGAATGCCAGCTAATAAAGGAATCTTTCTTCTTTATACTGCACCAAGCCTCATGCATTTTTGTTTTTGTGTGTGTGTGCCAGGACTGGGGTTTGAACTCAGGGCCTGGCTCTCCATCCCTTAGCTTCCTTGCTCATGGCCTGGTTCTCTACCACCAATGTGGTCCACATCTCCAATCTGGCTTTTTCCTGGCTCTCTGGGGATTGGAGTCTCAGGCTGGCTTCAACACTCCATCCTCCGAATGTCAGCCTCCTGAGAGGTAAGGCTAGGATGACAGGCGTGAGCCGCTGATGGCCGCCTCGGAGATGATTTTAAGCTATGAGGAGAGGTTCTCAGGTTGCCTGCAAACGCTGCCCCATTTGTAGAAGACATCTGAGCATCTTTCTTGGGGCAGACACTTAGAACTCAACTGTTAAAGGAGAAAATCATGATGGAGGAGGAAAGGGAAACTGAGTCAGGCCGATAGTCAGCTCATGTCCACACGGACAACATTCAACATCTCTACCACTAAAGCAAAGAAACTCAACAGATGAACCTGTCCAACGTGGATCCACAAAAGACAAAATAAAATAAAATTAAAACTTTCTTTAAAAAAGATGGATTTTAAGCGTAGAGTGATTTTTCTTGCCAGCTCCCAGCCCAGCACATGAGCCTTTCACTCACTAAAGAACTGGTACTATTTCAATAGGAGAAGCCTTTAGGAGTTTTGATGATGCTGTGGAAAGTTCCAGAAAGGTGAGGGGCTGACATGGATTAGAAAGGGAAAGTAGGCTGGACACTGTTGACTCATGCTATAATCCCACCTAATCGGGAGGCTGAGATCTGGGGATTGTGCAAACAAATCCAAGATACTCTTATCACAAATTAACCAGCAAAAAGATAGAAGGGGAGCTTTAACCCAAGGGGTACAGCGCCAGCATAGAGAAAAAAAAAATCAAGCAAGAGTGAAAGACCCTGAGTTCAAGTCCCAAGGCTAACATGAAAAGAGAGAGAAAGAAAGAAAGGAAGAAAAGAGAAAGAAAGAAAGAAAGAAAGAAAGAAAGAAAGAAAGAAAGAAAGAAAGAAAGAAAGAAAGAAAGAAAGAAAGAAAGAAAGAAAGAGAGAAAGAGAGAGAAAGGAAGGAAGAAAGGAAGGGAAAAGATAGGAAGGAAGGAAAGGAAAAGATAGGAAGGAAGGAAGGAAGGAAGAAAGGAAGGAAGGACTTCTCAGGAGCACCAGCAGGAAACTGCAGGTAGGAGCGTGCAGGCCAGGTTCGACTCAGGTGTCTCAGGCTGGGTTTCGTGGTTCCCTCTCACTGGTTCAAATCCACCCCCACACCCTAACCCCTTCCCCCCCCCCCCCCCCCGCAGTAGTTGCAGGATCTCTCCATCCACAGAGGGCTCAGCTCAGAAGCCACCACCAGCTGTGATCTTGGGGTGGGGGGATACCCCATGTCACCTCATTCCCCCTACAACCCAAGTGGATGGGCACCAAGCGAGCCCAGGATTCACACACACACACACACACACACACACACACACACACACACACCGCCAAAGCACACACCTGGGGACGAATACCACGTTGTGCAGGTAATCCTCGAACGTCTTCCGGAACGAGGACTCCTCCAGCTCTTTCAGGATCTGAGAGTCAGTCTTGGGGCAGGAGCAGCACTCGCTGGCAGAGTCGTCATACTCGCTCTGATTGTTCTTCTGAGAATCCTTGGACTCAAACGGTGGGGACCACATCCTGGAAGGTAGCTTCAACCCTAGGGAAAGACACCCAGCAAGAGAGAGGAGTGCTCAAGTGTCACCTCCCTCCCCCAAACAGACACACGCTCGGGCCCAGGTGGAAAGTTCCACGTTGCAAAAAATAAAAAGAAGAAGGAAAAACCTCCTGGGCGGGTGTGGTAGTGCATGCTTTTCATCCCGGCTCTCTGAAAGGCAGAGGTAGGAAGATCACAGTCCAAAGCGAAGGGGAGGGGTGGCTCAGGTGGTAGAGCGCCAGCGTTGAGTGGAGAAAGCCAAGCAAAGTGCGTACATGATATGGGACAACAAACCTAACATGAAGCATGCTATCTGAACCATCTAGCAGTGTCTTTCTTTTTGTTTTGGTCGATTGTGGGGCTTGAACTCAGGGCCTGGGTGCTGTCCCTGAGCAGTTTTTTTCCTCTACCAGTTTGAGCCACGGCGCCACTTCTGGTTTTCTGATGGTTCATTGGAGAGAAGAATCTCAGGGACTTTGCCTACCCAGGCTGGCTTCAAACCGCGATCCTCAGATCTCAGCCTCCTGAGTAGCGAGGATGACAGGCGTGAGCCACCAGTGCCTGACTGATTTTTTTTAATTCTGTAACCTCTGTAATAATTACTCGAATCCAAAATTTAATAAGCTCCATGCTAATCCCCTCAAGAGGCATGTTTGGCTGCTGTAGCTGGCGTCAGACCCTCAAAGGCACAGCCAACTGCTCAGCATGGAGCCCGACGTGGGTCAGCCTCAAGTTATATAAAGCAGCTGAGGAAATAAATCACGCCTGTAATCCCAGGCCAGGCCAGGGTGATGTCATAGGCAGACATATAGCACATGATGTTACACTTGGGGAAGCTCCCAGCCGTCATCTGCCTTCTACCCCATCTCCCAAAATGGAGACACACAGGAACGCCACCAGGGACTTAAGCCAAACCTGGCAGCAGAGTCCAGAGCCAGGCCAAGAGGCCTGCCACACGTCACCAGCATTCCCCTGGCCTGGTGCCCAAGCTGTGCCACCCACTGACGCCAGCCCAGGAAAATCAAAGACAAACAAACCAACTAACTCAGAAACACACACACACAAAAAAGACAAATGAGCCGGGGCTGGTGGCTCACGCCTGTAATCCCAGCTACTCAGGAGGTTGAGATGTGAAGATCAGTTCAAAGCCAGCCCAAGGAGGAACATCCATGAGACTTTTTTTTTTGTCAGTCCTGGGGCTTGAACTCAGGGCCTGGGCACTGTCCCCACGCGCCTTCTGCTCAAGGCTAGCGCATTACCACTTGAGCCACAGCGCCACTTCCAGCTTTTTGTTTCTGTGGTACTGAGGACTCGAACCCAGGCTTTATGTATGCTAGGCAAGCACTCTACCACTAAACCACATCCCGAGCCCTCCGTGAGACTCTTATCTCCAATGACTCACCAGAAAACCAAAATTGGAGCTGTGGCTCAAGTGGTAGAGTGCCAGCATTGAATAAAAAGAAGCTCAGGGACAGCGCCCAGACTGCAAATTCAAGCCCCAAGACTGACAAAAAAATAAATAAAAATAAAAACTAAAATAAAAAGATAAATGAAACAACTAACTCAAGGGGGGGGGGAGGGAGGAGTAAAACAATAATAACTACAAAAGCTTTCTCTGTGCATCACCTTTATAACAGTAAACAAAAAAATACTTTCTCTTGTCCAAATTTTTAACCCCCTTTCTATTTTGAAATATATAATATATTCTAGTTTTCTTCCTGTATAAGAGAACACCAGAACATTGTCACCAACTTGTTCACTTAATATGTTATCAAACTACACACACACACACACACACACACACACACACACACACACACACCACTTTCCTCTCCTCCCTCAGCTTCTGATAGCCACTATTATAAGGGTTGTGAATGCTTTCTTATTTGTTTTATTGGCCCTGGGACTTGAACTCAGGATCTGGGCTCTGTCCCTGAGCCTCTTTTTGCTCAAGGTTAGCACTTTATCACTTGAGCCACAGACTTTTCTGCTCAGGCTCGCTCCGAACTGGGTCCTCAGATCTCAGCCTCCTGAATAACAGGATTACAGGTGTGAGTCACCAGTGCCCAGCTTTGAATACTTTATTACAGATCGATATTAAATGGGAAACCTGTTACATTTGATTTAAGCATATTGTATACATATATATGTAGAGAAGAGTTTAAACTCAAAGCCTCACGGTAGCTAGGCAGGTCACTCTACCTACTGTTTGAGCTAGGCAGCCAGCTCTTTTTGCTTAAGTGATTATTCAGATAAGGTCTGAGGCTTTTTGCCTGGAGTCAACCTCAGAATCTGATCCTCCTACCTCTGCCTCCTGAGTTGCTGGGATTACAGGCATGAGCCACCGCACCCCAGCTAATATGGACAATTATTAGATAGCAAAGAAAAATTTTAAAGTAAACTAGTTTTAAAATAATCTACACATATTACTTTGAGGTTTTAAGTCTTTATCCATTTTCCTTCAAGGCAATTGAATCTGGTGAAATAAGATTCAAAATGGAAAACAAAAACAAAACAAAACAAAAACAAACCTGTCACAAGGATGTCTTTCTTTACTGGAAGCACAGAAAGATCAAAGATAGCTCCTTATTGTCTCTGACTCCTAAAGCTATGAGGTATTAGCCAGTCATCGATGGCTCACTCCTGTAATTGTAGCTATCAGGAGGCTGAGATGTGAGGATCACAGTTCAAGGCCAGCCTCAGTAGAAAAATCCGTGAGTCTTTTATCTTCAATGAACCACCACAAAGCTGAAAGTGGTGCTGTGGCTCAAGTGGTAGAGAACCAGTCTTGAGCATAAAAAGCTTAGGGACAGCACTCAGGTCCTGAGTTCAAGCCCCAGAAAAGGCACAAAAAAACAACAACAACCAAAAATATAAATATATATTTTATATATATATATATATAAAGTGTGTGTGTGTGTGTGTGTGTGTGTGTGTGTGTGTGTGTGTGTGTGTGGTCATTCACAGATGCTGTGGCTCACAACTAGAATCCTAGCTACTCAGAGAGCTGAAATCTGGAAGACCAGCCCAGGTAGAAAAGTTTCAGACACTGTCTCCTCCAATTAACTAGCAAAAAGGCAAACTAGAGGCATGGCTCAAATGGTAGAGTACCAACCATAAGCAACCAAGATGAGCAAACATGGCAGCCTGAATTCAAAACCTAATAGTGAAGGAAGAAAAAAAAAATCTATGGGGTCCTGGAAGGGCCAAAATCCTTCTCTGACTTTGCCAGTGACTTTCCCACAAGCTGGCTGCATTTCTGGCTTTGCAGAGTCTCGAGTAGGTTAACACCGCCATGTGCCTTGCAGTGGGGGTGGAAGAAGGGGAAGAGAAAAGCAAGAGGAAGAGGAGAACATTCCAGAAGAGAATGGTGGGGGCCCATTTAAGGATGGCACAGGAAGAAATGAACCATTCGGTGATATCATCACTGTGAGACCAACTGAGTGAACGCTGCACAAACAAGATGGCGGCCATGCCACTAAATGATACCACTGCACGGGGGCACCATCATCTATGTGGCGCAAGGCTGATTGAGACGTGGTATGTGGCCTGCTATTGTATCTGGATATTTTGAGTTCCAGTGGGAGGAGGGGGTGTCTTTGTTTTTGTTTTGCTATGTTGAGGATGGAAGCCCAGGGCCTAGCCCATTTAGACACATGCAGAACCACTGAACTACATCCCACACCCACACCCCCAGCCCTGTGCCTGGCTTTTACATGAGTCTTCAGTGTGTAGGTATGTATAGTGTTTAGAATGTACATGCCTCACTGGAATATTACTCAGCAGAAAGAAGAATGGGATCATATCATCTGCAGGAAAATTGAGGAGGTCCTTTTAGGCGATGCATGCATGTACGGGCATGTGCGTGCATGCCTGCGTGCGTACACACATCCTGGAACCAGGAAGAGGCCTGCATCCCAACACAGAGATCTAAGCGTGGCCCGTGCTCACCTTTGAGGCAATAGTCCAACTCGAAGAGCTCACTGTCTTCTGCCTGCCTCTGCCAATACACTAGATAGTGTGTGATGTTGCCGTTCGGGTCTGAAGGGGGCTTCCACTTCAAGATGATCTGGGATGAGGAATTGGAAACGGAGATGGGGTCCAGAGGGACGGAAGGATCTGCAAGGGGGAAAAGGAGACAGAAACCATGAGGGACAGATACGGCAGCGCATGCCTGTAATCCCAGCTGCTCAGGAGGCTGAGATGTCAAGATCGTGATTCAAAGCCAGGCCAGGGAAGGAAAACCCTAGACACCCTTATCTCTGAGGAATCAGCAAAAAGGCTGGAAGTGGAGCTGCGGCTCAAGTGGTAGAGGGATAACCTTGAGCGGAAAAAGCTCAAGGACAGTGCCCAGGCTCTGAGTTCAAGTCCCAGGACTGGCACAAATCATCGAGCAAACCAACAGCAGCCGGCGTCACGTACTGGTGGCATCTGTCTGTACATAGATGATGTCGCTCTTGGCCCCATAGGTTCGGCGTTCGTCAGAAAAGGTGACCAGAGTTTTGACAAAGATGGCGTACTGGGTCCAGGGTTTGAGGCCCCGCATCAGCCAGCCAGGGTGCTTCTGGGACTTGGCGTCGTTGGATCTTTGGGGTGGGTCAATGTCCACCACGGTCCAGCTGTTGGAGCCACAGGCATCCTGTCCATCAAACTCCGTCACGTTCTGGTAAGGACTTTAAAGAGAGAATGGGAGGAGGGTGATTAGCACGGAGAGGCCATTGCTCTGAGCACATCCAATGGGTTTCTTGTCTAGCCATCAGTAATACCACATGGACCCACCAAAGAGAAAGGACCTGTCAGTTATACATAATAATAATCATGAGGCTATCTGGCTTAATGTTGTTTTAATTGTCTGTCTGTCCTAGAGCTTGAACTCAGGGCCTGGGCACTGTCCCCTGAGCTTTTTCCCCTCAAGGTTAGCACCCTACCACTTGAGCTCCACTTCTGGTTTTCTGTTGGTTCATTGGAGATAAGAAGGCTGGGAAGGTGGCTCAGTGGTAGAGCGCTTGCCTTGCATGCCTGAGTCCCTGGGTTCAAGAAGTCGCTCAAACTTCCTGGCCTGCCTTTGAACCACGATCCTTTAGATCTCAGCCTCCTGAGTAGCTGGGATTATAGGCATGAGCCACCAGCACTGCCCGGCTCAAAAAACCCTTTTGCTTTACAATCTGTTGGATTTATGCCAGTACAAAAATAAACGCATTCTGTACAAACCAGGTTTGGAATCTTAAATCTGGGTTTTGGTAATGCTAGGCACTTTCATAAAAATTATGCTGAGCCGATCTGAGGATTGAGGTTTCAAAGCCAGCCCTAGCAGGAAAGTCCATGAGACTCTTATTTCGAAAACTGCCATAAAACCAGAAGTGGCACTGTAGCTCAAGTGGTAGAGTAAGCTCACATTGAGCTGAAGAGCTGAGGGACAGTGCCCAGGCCCAGAGTTCAAGCCCCATGACTGAAAAAAAAAAAAAAAATTATGTTGGAAAATATATTTAAATGGATTCAGAAATGTTTTTCTAAAAAAATAACTCAGTGGACTACATGCCTGATTGCTAAGGCTGTCTGATACACACAATGGAACAATGTTCTAGGAAATGAGTAACTCTGGACCTATGGCAGGGTAGGGGGCCTCATACCTGTAGTCCTGGCTACTTAGGAAGATGAACCAGGAAGATCCCTGGACCCCAAGAATTAAGACTCAGCCTGGACAACATAGGAAAACCCCGTATCTTCTCTCCTTCCATTAAACTTCCTCCAGAACCAACCGCTACACGAAAACTTTCAGCCTTAATTTCAGATCTTTGATCTGAGGGGATTTATTTGTTTGTTTGTTTTGGGTTGTAGAACTTGAACTCAGGCTTAGGTGCTGTCCCTGAGCTCTTTTGCTCAAGGCTAGCGCTCTAGCACATGAAGCCATACAATTCCACTTCCGGTTTTCTGCTGGTCCATTGGAAATAAGAGTCTCATGGACTTTCCTACCCAGGCTAGCTTTGAACTGTGACCCTCAGACCTCTGCCTCCTGAGTAGCTGGGATTATAGGCATGAGGCACCAGCATCCAGCCTAAGGGGATATTTTTGACTTTCTGCAATAGGAACCAGCAAGACCATCCAAAGGGAAGTAGACTATTATTTATTTCATGCAGAGGAAGGAAATAATGAGGTGTAGTCCCCCCGACGGATGGGAGTCCCCCTCCAGGCCATCTCTCCTGACCCTGCCTCTCACTACTCACGCCTCTTTGTAGAAGAGCATGAACCCCAAGAGGTCTCGGAAATCGGGGGGCCAGTAGGGCTCCCATTTCAGCATAATCTTGTCATATGATGTGCGGATGAAGGAAAACTTAAGTAATTCGTTTTCACCTAGGAAAGTTGAAAAGGAAGAAAAAGAGAAAAGAATGAAAAAAAAAAAAAAAGACAATCCAGTCATTAGGATAAGGGGTGGTGTTCATTTCAGGCCAAAACATAATCTGAGCAAGGGGTTTGCCCAGATCAAGGCCAAGCCAGGTAGCTAGCCAAGACTGCAATAATCAGGGGTTTAACTGAATACCAGATTGCACAACTAGGCCACGCCCCCTAGAAAAGGTACTCCATTGGGAACACTGATCCACATGCGTAATTAAAATATCTATATAAATAGAATGCAATCTCTACTTATTTGAGAATAAGTAGATATTTGCACAGTCAGGGTTTTTATCTTTTTCTTGTTCTTTTTTTTTTTTTTTTTGTCGGTCCTGGGGCTTGAACTCGGCCTGGGCACTGTCACTCAGCTCTTCACTCAAGGCTAACGCTCTACCACTTGAGCCATAGTGCCACTTCTGGCTTTTTTTGCTTCTGTGGTACTGAGGAATCAAACCCAGGGCCTCATGCATTCAAGGCAAGCACTCCACCACTGAGCCACCTTCCAGCCCCAATAGTCAAGGGATTTTTTTTGTCAGTCGTGGGACTTGATTGAAATCTGGCCCTGGGCACTGTCCCTCAGCTCTTCAGCTCAAGGCTAGTGCTCTGCCACTTGAGCCACAGCGCCACTTCAGGTTTTCTGAGTGATTATTGGAGATAAAGAGTTTCTCAGACTTTTCCTGCCCAGGCTGGCTTTGAACCACCATCCTCAGATCTCAGTCTCCTGAGTAGCTAGGATGACAGAAGTGAGCCACCAGCGCCCAGCTGAGTCAGGGTTTCTTTTTTCATTTTTTATTTTTGTCAGTTTTGTGGGGCTTGAATTCAGGCCTGAGCGCTGTCCCTGAGCTCTTTTGCTCAAGGCTGGCGCTCTACCACTTGATTCACACCTCCACTTCCAGCATTTTTTTCTGTCAGTTGTGGGGCTTGAACTTAGGGCACTGTCCCTGAGCTCAAAGGCAGCACTCTACCACTTGAGCCACAGATTTTTGGTAGTTCACTGGAGATAAGAGTCTCATGGACCTTCCTGCCCAGGATAGTTTCAAACCTCAATCTTCAGATCTGAGCCTCCTGAGTGGCTAGGATGACAGGCATGAGCCACTAGCAACCAGTTTGGTCAGGGTTTCATTGTGATTTTCCATACACACATGCACATATAGACACAGACACACACAGACACACACACGTGTGTACACACACTCGCACACCACATTCAGCTCCTTCCATTCAGTGTGGTCCTGCACATGAAAGGTGTATGATATCACAGATTGGCTAATCTGTATGCAAATGAGCCCATGCAAATGAGCATGGACAGACCCAACTGTCCAACTGTGAATAGACAGGGGTGGAGTCATTCTGCCTGTCTGGGATTTGAACCCTCTCCCAAACTCCATCCAAGACTTAATGTCTCCTTGGACTTCCAAGGGCTGACCAGAGTCCCAGTGTGCTGATTTCGCAGCTGGGTCAAAGGCAGGGTGCCTGCTGGAACATTCTGAGCCACAGCACGACTCTGCTCTGCTCAGTCTCCATCCGTGACAGAACTAAGTGGGGCTCAAGCCTCTCTTTCCTCCTCCCTCTTAGTTCTTGGGTTCCAATCTATACTGCTCTCAGAAGGGTGTGGCAGTGCCTGCCTGCAATCCCAGCCAATCAGGAGGCTGAGATAGGATCTCAGTCCAAGAGGAGGAGGGGGATGAAGAAGAGGAGGAAGAGGAGATTTCCCCCCCCTAATTCTCTTCCTTCTGCAATTTCTCCTCCGTGGGTTATCTGGCTGGGAGCACCAAGGCAGTGTGACTTACAGGAGGCCTGGTCTCCATTGGTCTTTAGGGCAATGTCATTTCTCTCCTGGCGTCCCTTGGTTCCAGAAACTTCTTCCATCTTGTGGATTTCGGACAAGCAAAGTTTGGGATTATAGTGGAAGAAGAGTTTCCCATTGATGATGGTGAGGTTGTGCTTGCTCCAGTCCCAGAGTTGCCTTAGGTTCTGGTTGTCCAGAGCATAGAAAGAGTAATTCCTACAGAGACAGAGGCACCCAGGTCACGTGACAGCTCGACCTCCAGCAGGAGCCAGGCTGGAGCCCAGCTTCACGTTCTGTTTTGATTATGGGTTCCCCTTTTTGTTTTTTTTTTTTGGGTCCAGTCGTGGGGCCTGAACTCTGGGCCTGTGCGCTGTCCCTCAGCTCTTCAGCTCAAGGCTAACGCTCTACCACTTGAGCCATAGCGCCACTTCTGGCTCTTTTCTTTTTGCTTATGTGGTGCTGAGGAATCGAACCCAGGGCCTCAGGCATGCAAAGCAAGCGCTCTACCACTGAGCCACCTTCCCAGCCCCCCCTCTTTTTTTTTTTTTTTTAAATTAGTATACATTAACTGTACCAAACAATGCGTTTCATTAGGACATTCTCAGACATGGATACCATGTACTCTGTTCATCGTCACCCCCATTATCTTGTTCCCTTCCTCTTCCATTTAGTCTCCCCCACCAAAAAAAAAACCTCCCCTTCCATTTCTTTGGGGGGGTCCAGTCGTGGGGCCTGAACTCTGGGCCTGGGCGCTGTCCCTCAGCTCTTCAGCTCAAGGCTAGCGCTAAACCACTTGAGCCACAGCACCACTTCTGGCTTTTTTCTTTTTGCTTATGTGGTGCTGAGGAATTGAACCCAGGGCCTCATGCATGCAAGGCAAGCGCTCTACCACTGAGCCACCTTCCTAGCCCTGAAACCTGATTTCTGCGACAGCCAATTGAACATGGCAATAAAGGGCCCTCCTGGTAACTCTTGCCTCTACAGCAGCCCAGAATACACTAGTGAGCAAGTTCCAGCCACGCACCCCCACGTAAGGACCCCAAATTTGGGGCTGTAACCCTGCTTCTGTTCTCAAGAATGACTGTAAAACAGATTGGGGGGATGGGGTGTTTGTTTTGGGGGGAAGGCATACCACCCCTTAAAGCATGTACTAAGACTTTCAGAGTGTTTGATTTCCTGTGGGTTGGTGTTTTTTGTTTTTTGTTTTTTCAGGTCCGGTCATGGGGCCTGAACTCTGGGTCTGGGCGCTGTCCCTCAGCTCTTCAGCTCAAGGTTAGCGCTCTACCACTTGAGCCACAGCGCCACTTCCAACTTTTTATTTTTTTCTGCTTATGTGGTGCTGAGGAATCGAACCCAGGGCCTCAGGCATGCAAGGCAAGCGCTCTACCACTGAGCCACCTTCCCAGCCCTGGGTTGGGTTTTAAAAGAAAAAAAAAAACTAAATTTTTCTAACCCAAGAGCTTCCCTGGCACAAAACATACCATCAGGCCCACCTACCCCACTTCCAAGGTCTCCCCTCGAATCAGACGCAGCTTCCGGAAGAAGGAAAGAGAAACCAGAGCGTAGGAGCGTCGGATTTTTAGGTACCCAGATATTTCCTCAATGAGGCCAAGATTGGCCTCTAGTTCAGCCGCTAGGTTGTCTACAGAAACAAGAGAATATGCCGTGAGTATGGACCAAAATATTTAAGTCTTCCCTTTCATTTCTTCTTTTTTTTTTGTCCGTCATGGGGCTTGAACTCTGGGCCTGGGCGCTGTCCCTCAACTCTTCAGCTCAAGGTGAGCGCTCTACCACTTGAGCTACAGCGCCACTTCCATCCCTTTCATTTCTTATGGTGAGGAAGTCACCAGATGGCAAATGAGTTTTGTTTCTGATTTTGTTTTTTTGTCAGTCCTGGGACTCGAACTAAGGGCCTGGGTGCTGTCCCTGAGCTCTTTTGCTCAAGGCTAGCATTCTACCACTTTGACCCATACCACCACTTCCAGTTTCCTCGTGGTTCATTGGAGATAAGGGTCTCACCGACTTTCCTACCCAGGGCTGGTTTTGAACAGTGATCCTCAGATCTCAGCCTCTTTGAGTAGCTAGGATGACAGGAGAGAGCCACTAGTACCCGGCTTGGCAAATGATTTTGATCTACAAAGCTATCCTGTGGAGGTAAGTAGGTGGCTTTGGTAGATGCCGCCTCAGATGAAATGGAATACAAAAATTAAATAAAAACTACTTTCAAATCTGGTCACACTTAGAAGACAACCCAAGGTCCTCAATGTTCCTTAAGCCAAGCTTAAGTGAATCAAACAAGCAGATATAGAAGGAAATAATGTATTCTATATCTGCTTGTTTGATTCCACAGTCATCTCAAAGTTCCCTTCTCAAGACCAGATACTTCTTCCAATAGCAACCTCTTTTATTTTCTACCTCAGAGGTTGGCAAGCAGCAGCCCATTGGATTCAGCCAATTTTATAAATAAAGTTTTATTGAAACACAGCCATGTCAATTTATAGCCCTGTGTCTAAGACTATTTTCATTTTAAAAAAAAATTTTTTTTTTAAAGGAGCCAGGCACTGGTGGCTAACACCTGTAATCTTAGCTACTCATGAGGCTGAAATCTGAGGATCACAGTTCAAAGCTAGCCTGGGCAGGAACGTCCCCAAGACACCATCTCAACAGAAGAAGGGGTACAAGGGCGCATGCCTGTCACTCCAGCTATAGGAAAAAGTATAAAATAGGTGGTCCAGTAGTACTCAGAGCAGAAATCCCAGGCCTTCCTTTAGAAATAAGTGCAAAAGAGTATGGTTTTACAGTTGAGGGCCTGAGTTCAATCCCCCGAACTTATTTTATTTTTATTTTTTGTCGTGGGGCTCGAACTCTGGGCCTGGGCACTGTCCCTCAGCTCTTCAGCTCAAAGCTAGTGCTCTACCAGTTGAGCCACAGCTCCACTTCGAGTTTTCTAGTGGTTTATTGGAGATAAGAGTCTCACAGACTTTCCTGCCCAGACTGGCTTTGAACTGTGATCCTCAGATCTCAGCCTCCTGAGTAGCTAGGATTACGGGCATGAGCCACCAGTGCCCAACTTAATCCCCAGAACTTATTAAAAAAAAAAAAAAAGCAAGCAGATTCTTGACACAGATTGGAAAATGAGAGTTCCAGGACTACAAGAGTGCATCACCCTACCCAGCTGAAGGATGCTCTTAACATTGCAAAAGGAGGGTACAAGACAATCAAGGTTGTTTTCCTGCCCTGACCCCTACTCCAGGTAGCCTGGCACCCAGAGCCTCCCCCTCTCACCCCTCCACCTCCCACCCAATACTCACTGCCTCCTCGGATATTGATGATCAGGCTGCCGTTAACCACCGTACAGCCTCGGAGCTCCTGGGCTGAGGTCACTGAGTCAATTGTCTTCTCGCCTTCCAGGAGGTGACAGATCTTGGGACAAGGCCCCAGGCATGGGGTACACATCAAGCTGAAAATGGAGCCGAGAGAGAGAGAGAGGTCAGACATCTCACCCAGCTCAATCCAGCCCTCAGCACACACCAGTGAGCTGGAATGGGTTCACATGTAGCCTGAGAAAAAGGAAGAATGATATTCCGGTGGAATATTACTTGGCCATAAACAGAAACGAAACCGTTATCATTTGCAGGGAGATGAATGGAGCTGGAGTTCATCATGTTGAGCAAGATCAAGCTAGCTCAGAAAGTCCAGGAGCACAGGTTTTCCCCCCTATGTGGGGTTTATACATAAACTACACATAAACACAAATCCATGCATATGTAACTGTGGAAATATTGGGGGAGGGGCAAGGGGAGAAGGAAAGACAGAAGCCAAACAAGATCAAAACCCATGGTGAGCCAGTCGCTAGTGGCTCATGCTTGTAATCCTACTCAGGAGAATGAGATCTAAGGATTCAGGTTCAAAGCCAGTCTGGGCAAGAAAGTCCAAGAGACTCCTATCTCTAATGAGTCAACAAAAACCTGGAAGTAGAGGTATGGCTCAAGTGGTAGAACACCATCCTTAACAACAACAACAACAACAATAAAGCCAAGGGAGAACATAAGGCCCTGAATTCAAGCCTCACACGAAAATAAATGAACAAGAAAGGGCTCAGGTACATGAGAGGGTGTGAGGTTCCCCAGGAGCATCTTGTAGGATGCTGAGAGCTGGCTGGATCTCTGGACTGTGCACAGCACAGCAAGCCATCTTGGAAGTTCCTGCACCAAAGTCACGGTTTTGAGGACTGTTGAGAATGTTGGGGTGAACTGTGGCAGACCCCTGGAGACTGCGAGGCTTGCCAGTTTGCCAGGATCATTTGTGAGATGAAATGGTTGGGGGTTTTAGCTGCACCCAGCACCAAGCCAGGCCACAACAAACCACAGCTCAGAAATGTGCAGGTTGGAGAGAGGGAGAGAGAAAGAGAGAGGGAGAGAGAGAGAGAGTGTGTGTGCGTGTGTGTGTGTGTGTGTGTGTTGGGACTTGAACTCAGAGCCCCATCACCTCCCATTTTCTGGTGGTTCATTGGAGATAAGAGTCTCGTGGGGACCAGAAGCCCGTGGCTCACGCTTGTAATCCTAGATACACAGGAGGCTGAGATGTGAGGATCACAGTTCAAAGCCAGCCTAGGCAGGAAAGTCCGTGACTCTTATCTCCAATAAGCCCCTCGGTAAGCTAGAAGTGGTGCTGTGGCTCAAGTGGTATAGCGCTAGCCTTGAGCTGAAGAGTTGAGGGACAGCGCCCAGGCCCAGAGTTCAAGCCCCATGACTGACCAAAAAAAAAGAGAGAGAGAGAGAGAGAGAGAGAGAGTCTTATGGACATTTCTGCCTGGGCTGGCTTTGAACCATCATCCTCAGATCTCAGTCTCCTGAGTAGCTAGGATGACAGGTGTGAACACCAGTGCCCAGCCCTTCTCCTACCCCCTCCTTTTTTTTAAAGGCTTTTTATTTAAAGTTAATGGCTTTTAAACAAACATGTCAACAAGAGCGCTTTGTTTTATTTCAAATATGAAAACAAAAACATCCTAGCCAGTAGGAAAAGGTAATTTTATAGAGTCCTATTTTTGGTCAACAAAGTCACTTGATGTTCTGCTTTTGAAAGAAAAAAAAAAATCAAAAAGAACAAAAACAAAACATATTGTACTTGGAGGTTTTTATAAACACTAAAAAGGAAGATCTGGAAGAACTGGGCTGCCATAAAGATGATTTTCCTTCCCACTGAGTGAAATCAAATTCCCACCAGCACATGCTCGCTTGGCTAATTCTTCAGTCTGAAGAGGAGTTGTTGGGTTTTTTTTTTTTCTTTTTTGACGTAAGCAGGTCACCTCCAAGCCTTCCAACGACAACACCGTGCGTCTGTCTGCTTGGCATTTGCTTGGTTTCATTTCGTTTTTCTTCTCTTTTTTTTTTTAATTGTGAAAATACTGTACAGAGGGGTTACAATTACATGAGCAAGGTAATGAGTACATTTCTTAGCAAGCATTGTTGCCTTCTCCTTTGTTTCCCCTTACCATCCCTTCCTATTCTTCTCTTCTTTGATGCTTATGTGTTTGCTTTTCATTATTTTTTTTTAATCCTCCATACCAAAAAATTAAAAAGTACAAAACATTTTGTTTTTCTTTCCCTTCTTTCTGGAAACTCAGGGCCTGGGCACTGTCCCTTGAGCTCATTTGCTCAAGGATAATGCTCTACCACTTTGAGCCATAGCTCCACTTCAGTTTTCTGGTGGTTCATTGGCATTAACAATCTCCTGGACTTTCCCGCCTGGGCTGTCTTTGAAGTTCAATCCTCAGATCTCAGCCTCCTGAGTAGCTAGGATGGAGGACAGGTGTGAGCCACCAGTGCCTGCAGGATAGATTTTTTTTTTAACTTGGTGAATGGCCCAAGACACCAAAATATCTCATATAAGAAAAGAACACAGGGGGCTGGCTAGGAAGGTGGCTCAGTGGTAGAGTGCTTGCCTTGCATGCATGAGGCCCTGGGTTCGATTCCTCAGCACCACATAAGCAGAAAAAAAAGCTGGAAGTGGCACTGTGACTCAAGTGGTAGAGTGCTAGCCTTGAGCTGAAGAGCTGAGGGACAGTGCCCAGGCCCAGAGTTCAGGCCCCACAACCAGACCCCCCAAAAAAAGGAAAAGAACAGAACACAGGGCTGGGAACCTGCTTAATGGTAGAGTGCTTGCCTAGCATGCATGATGCCCTGGGTTCAATTCCTCAGTACCACAGAAAGAAAAAGCTGGAAGTGGCACTGTGGCTCAAGTGGTAGAGTGCTAGCCTTAAACAAAAGAAGCTCAGGAGCTGTGTCCAGGCCCTGAGTTCAAGCCCCAGGAGTGGAAAAAAAGAAGTGGAGGGGAAGGAAGGAAAGGAGGGAGAGAGGGAGGAAGGAAGGAAGGGAGGAAGGGAAGAAGGGAGGGAGGGAGGGAGGGAGGGAGGCCACAAACAATATGTCTGTGACATTTGAAAAAAAAAAAGAAAAGAAAATTAACCCACCCCTAAGCAGAGTAACCCTGCTATTTCTCACCCAAATGGTAGGATACAGTCTAATTATGTCATTGTTCAAACAGCAGCAAAGTCCATACTAATGTTAACACCACCCAGATGCCAGGTAAGATAAGACATGGAAAGCAAAACCTCAGCCTGGATCCTCTTACCTATACCTCCCACAAAGCCATGATTACAGCAAGCACCACCATGCCCAACTGCCATATTAAGAAGGCTAATTAAAAATTTGTCCAGGTCAGCCCTGAACTTAAGTCACTGAGGACAGCACACCACAGCAGGAAGCCCAGGGGAGATTAAAGACTTCCTTGTTTTGTTTTGTGTTTTTTTTATCTTTTCTCCTCTTGCAAATAAGCACAAGCTGAGCACAGCCGAAGCACCTGCCCATCCATCAGGGAACCAGCCCAGGTGTCCAACAACTAATGAAATGGATAACAATAATTTTTTTTAAAGTGGTGTATATGCTTGGTGGAATTTTACTCAGCACCACTGGAGATCATCAAGTTAAGAGCAATAAGCCAGACTCAGAAAGACAGATATTATACATTTTTCTCTCCTCCGCAGGAGCTAGATCCAAAGAGTAAAACAAAATTAAAAAAAAATTTTAAAGACATTAACAGCAAAAAAAAAAAAAAAAAGGTGGGAAGGAAAGAAGACTGTGACAAAGGCAAGTCGTGTGCATAAATGAGAATATCATAAGGAAAACCATGCTAAAGTAAAGAAAGCTTTTAAAAACGGGAATAGGAGCCAGGCGCCGGTGGCTCATGCCTGTCATCCTAGATACTCAGGAGGCTGAAAGCTGAGGATCATCGTTCAAAACCAACCCAGGTAGGAAAGTCCATGAGACTCTTATCTCCAATGAATCACCAGAAAACCAGAAGTGATGCTGTGGCTCAAGTGGTAGAGCACTAGCCTTGAGCTGAAGAGCTCAGGGACAGCACCCAGGCCCAGAGTTCAAGCCTTGCAACCGACAGAGAAGGAAGGAAGGAAGGAAGGAAGGAAGGAAGGAAGGAAGGAAGGAAGGAAGGAAGGAAGGAAGGAAGGAAGGAAGGAAGGAAGGAAGGAAGGAAGGAAGGAAGGAAGGAAGGAAGGGAAAGAAAGAACAAAAGGAGGGAGGGAGGGAGGGAGGGGAAAGAAGGAAGGAGAGAGAAAGGAAGGAAAAGAAAGAACAAAAGAAAGAGAGAAAAAAAGAAGGAAGGAAGGAAGGAGAGAGAAAGAAAGGAAGGAAAAGAAAGAAGGAAAGGAAGGAAGGAGGGAAGGAAAGAAAGAAAAGAAAAATGGGAGTAGGACTCAGGAGGCTGAGATCTGAGGATTGCGGTTCAAATGCAGTCTAGCCAAGAAAGTCCAGGCCTTTATTGCCAATTAACCATCCAAAAGCCAGAAATGGAGCTGTGGCTCAAGCAGAAGAGCACCAGCTTTGAGCAAAAACACAGCTTAGGGACAGTGTCTAGGTCCTGAGTTCAAACCCCGGGACTGACACACAAACATACACATACAGCTGGGCGCCAGTGGTTCACGCCTGTCATCCTAGCTACTCAGGAGGCTGAGATCTGAGGATCACGGTTCAAAGCCAGCCCAGGCAGGAAAGTCCGTGGGACTCTTATCTCCAATAAACCACTAGAAAACAGGAAGTGGCATTGTGGCTCAAGCGGTAGAGCGCTTACCTCGAGCTGAAGAGCACAGGGACAGCGCCCAGGCCCAGAGTTCAAGCCGCCTGACCGACAAAAAAAAAAAAAAAATACACACACACACACACACACACACACACACAAAACACACACAAAGGTAGGAGAGGTTGAGGAGAGGAGGAGGTATTTAAAAGAGAGATAGAGGCATGAACATTAAAAAAATAAAAAATAATTTCAGGGGCTGGAAAGGTGGCTCAGTGGTAGAATGTTTGGCTTGAATTCATGAGGCCCTGGGTTCGATTCCTCAGCACCACATAAGCACAAAAAGCCAGAAGTGGCGCTGTGGCTCAAGTGGCAGAGCACTAGCCTTAAGCTGAAGAGCTGAGGAACAGCACGCAGGCCCAGAGTTCAGGCCCACGACAGACAACAAAAAATAAATAAGTGAATAAATAAATAAATGACAAATGAGCAGCAACAAGAAATGGAGCCCAAAATGCCAGCAATCCTTCCTCTCTGACTTTTTTTTTTTTAATCAACGTCTGCCTCGAAGCCCAGGAACCAGGACAAGAGGTGAAAAATGGCAACTGAGGCCGGGCACAGTGGCTCACGCCTATCACCCAGACTAATTGGGAGGAAATGATCAGGAAGATCTCACTCTGAGGCCAGCTTCAGGGTAAAAAATAAAAATAAAAAGTAGCCAAAACCCCATCTCAATCAACAAGTCACATGTGGTGTGGCAGGTGCCTATCATCCCAGGATGGGAGGCTGTAGGTAGGAGGAACGAGATAAAAGGCCAGTTTCTGGGCAAAAAGCGTAAGACCCTCCCATAGCAGCATGATGAACCCGGGCTGGGCTTGGCAGACTCACTTGGTGGAGTTCATCGTGTACCCGGAGGGGCACTCGGGGATGCACTTGTTGTCGTGGATGACGTACTGGTGACAGCCCTGCCTCCGCGAGTTCTTGCACTTGTTATGCAGGTCCAGGCAGAAGCTGAAGTTGACACAGCGCCAATCTTGGAAGTGGTAGTAGGGCGGCGGGCAGGTGGGCACGCAGCGGCCTTCCAGGTAGAAGTTGCGGCAGGCCACGCACTTGGTGGGGTCATCGGGCGCTGAGCAGTTCCCCAGACACTCGCTGTGACAGCACAGGCCGTCAGCCGTGCAGCCGTGCGACTTGCAGATGGTCGGGCACACTAGGGAGAGAGGGAGAGGGTCAGACAATGGATCAAGAAGGTGAAGGAGGAGGAGACTTGTTACCATGGCAACCGCAAGTCTCTCTCTCTCTCTCTCTCTCTCTCTCTCTCTCTCTCTCTCTCTCTCTCTCTCTCCCCCCCCCCTCCCCCCTTCCCCCTTCATACACACACACACACACACACACACACGGTTCTGGGCCTGGGTTACACTCATTGAAACCCCCCCCCCCCCCAGATTGGAGAGGAGGCTTGAAAATGCAAAATAACTTTGTGGGGAGGATGGGGGGGGGGTGAAGGGGCAAAGTGGCCTTAAATTAATTAAAACATCTGACAAATGTTCCTGGTGAATGCCAAGCTGCTATTGGCCCTCACCAAATACACTCTCCAGGCTAGAGATACAAAAGTAGCCAACTATCCAAACGTGGCAAAATAACATATACAGTAGCAAGTCGCAGCCAGCAACTACACACTTGTAATCCCAGCTACTCCAGAGGCTGAGATCTGAGGATCTCCATTCAGCAGGAAAGTTCCTGAGACTCTTATCTCCAACATGCTACAAAAAGCAGGGGGAGGAGGAGGAAGGGGGGGAGGAGGAGGAGGAGGGGGAAAGGGGGAAGAGGGGGAAGAGGAGGAGTGGGATGAGGAAGGAAGGGGGAAGGGGAGGGGGAAGGATGATAAAGGAGGAGGAGCAGTAGCAGCCAGTGGAGCTGTGACTCAAGTGGTAGAGCACCAGCCTTGAGGGAAAAAAAGCTCAGGGACAGCACCCAGGCCCTGAGTTCAAGTCCTAAGTCCCACACACAAAAAATAACTAATTAAAAGTAAATAAATAAAGACAGGGAGAAATGAGTCAAGAGGGAGTGTTATTACTAATAAGTGTTATTATTAATCATTGTTATTGTTTGTATTGCAGTCTTCTCCTGGATATCCATAGGGGATTAATTCCAGGACCCCCAAGAAAGCAGTATCTTCACCCCCATACTAGTGTCTTTAAATCCTGTCACATGACTTGTAATGCCTAAGCAACACCGGTGCTAGGTAAACAGTTATGACCCTGTTCTGTTAGTGAATAATAAGGGGGGGGGGGGGGGGGGGTGGCTATAACCAGTGACTCATGTCTGTCACCCTCAGGAGGCTGAGATCTGAGAATCATGGTTCAAAGCCAGCCCAGGCAGGAAAGTCCTGAAGAGTCTTATCTCCAATGAACCACCAAAAAGCCAGAAGTGGAGGTGTGGTTCAAAGTGATGAGTGCCAGCCTTGAACCCAGAAAGCTCAAGAACAGAAGCTAGACTCTGAATTCAAGTCACACACACTCATACACACAAAATAAATTAAAAATAGAAGTAAGCCAGGAGCCAGTGGCTCACGCCTGTAATCCCAACCACTCAGGAGACTGATATCTGAGGATCTGAGATCGAAGCCAGCCCAGGCAGCAAAGTCCTTGAAACTCTATCCCCAATGAACCACCAGAAACTCGAAGGACACTGTGGCCCAAAGTGGTAGAGCACTATCTGTGAGCAAAAAGAGCTCAGGGACAACACCCAGGCCCTGAGTTCAAGCCCCACAACTGACAAAATAAAAATAAAAGACCTGCATAAGTGCAGGTGCATTTGCTGAATGCTCTGCTCCCCAGCTGGGCGGACCAGGCAGGGAGGAGTAGCCAGCCTGCTGGTGCCCCGCCCCCTCAGAGGATCTGAGGCCTCAGCCTCAATTGGAGGAAGTCATATAAATAGGACAATGGTGTAAGACCCACCAAGGCCCGGTGTCAGACATAATGCAAGGAAGCCAGGAAGGGGCTCACTTCCTGGCAAGAGCGCCATCAAAGACCTCATAAAAACTTCCCACACACCCCAAGGGGTCGGGGGTGGGGAGGGGCTTGACAGGGTCAGGGGTTGAGTGATGCAATCTTGATGTATCTTGATTATTGTGTGAGCATACACTCATGCACGCACGAGCATGCACAGGCGCACACACACACACACACACAGGTTCACAGAACTGGGGGTTATGAGGCCCAGGAGGGGGTCCTGGAGAAAGGAGGGGGAGCTGAGAAACAGGGTACCTGGGGATTGCCCACAGTTAACACAGAAGCGGGAGGCCAGGTAGGCTAACGATACAAAATATGGCAAGCACATTTCTAAGAGCTACAAAAATAACTGTCCTGAAAGTACAGTAAGGGCTGGGAAGGTGGCTTAGTGGTAGAATGTCTGCCTAACATGCATGAAGCCCTGGGTTCCATTCCTCAGTACCACAGAAACAGAAAAGGTCACAAGTGGTGCTGTTCAAGTGGTAGAATGCTAGCCTTGAGCAAAAGAAGCTCAGACAGTGCCCAGGCCCGAAGTTCAAGTCCCAGGACTGGCAAAAAAAAAAAAAAAAAAAGTACAGTAATATACTGTAATACTAATATTTGAGGCCAGACACAATTTGACCTTTTTTAAAAAAACTTAATTATGTGCTATTACAAAGGTGATATAGAGTGGTTACAGTTACCTAAATCATTTCTCTTTTTTATTTTCTTCTCTTTTTTTTTTGTCAGTTGTGGGGCTTGGACTCTGGCCTGGGCGCTGTCCCTCAGCTCTTCAGCTCAAGGCGAGCGCTCTACCACTTGAACCACAGCACCACTTCCAGCTTTTTCTGCGTATGTGGTGCTGAGGATTCGAACCCAGGGCCTCATGCATAGAAGGCAAGCACTGTACCGCTGAGCCACCTTCCCAGCCCTACCTTTCTTTTTGAACAGTATCTCACCTTCCCTCACTCTCTCCCAGTTTTTCCCTCCCCTCTCCACCCAAAAGCTGTATAAGTTCGTTTTCCACAGTGTCCAGTAACTATCACGGCTGCATCTGTTCACCCTCTGTCCCCTCATTTCTGTGCTTCCTCCTACCCTCCAAAGACAGAAAATGAACAAATGAGGCAAAAAGAGAACAAAACCAACAACAAAGAGGAAAAAAACCCTCTTGTTTCCATTTCCTGAAGTTCATCTCGATAAATCTTATTTTATGTGATCAGAGACACATAGGCATTGCGCCTTTGTCCCGTGTGGTCTTCTTTTTGGTTTCTGGGTTTCTTGTGTTTTAGTTTTGTTCTGTTTTGTTTGTGTTTGCGAAGAAAGTGTTATAGGGCTTGAAATCAGGATCTGGGTGCTGTCTCTGAGCTTTTTGAGTTTAAATCTAAAGCTCTACCACCACTTTGAGCCAAGCCTCCACTTCTGGCTTTTTAGTTGCTGATTGGAGAATCTCACAGCCTGCCCAGGCTGGCTTTGAACCATGATCCTCAGATCTCAGCCTCCTGAGTAGCTAGGATGACAAGTGTGAGCCACTGGAAGCTGGCACAAACATTCTTTTAAAACCACTTTGTGGGGCTGGGAAGGTGGCTCAGTGGTAGAGCGCTTGCCTTGCATGCCTGAGGCCCTGGGTTCGATTCCTCAGCACCACATAAGAAAAAAGAAAAAAGCCGGAAGTGGCGCTGTGGCTCAAGTGGTAGAGCGCTAGCCTTGAGCTGAAGAGCTGAGGGACAGTGCCCAGGCCCAGAGTTCAGGCCCCACGACTGGACCCCCCCCCCCAAAAAAAAAAAAACCACTTTGTAACTGGGTGCTGGTGGTTCAAAGTCAGCCCAGGCAGGAAAGTCTATGAGACTCTTATCTCCAATGAACCACCACAAAACCAGAAGTGATGCTGTGGCTCAAGTGGTAGAGTGCTCACCTTGAACTGAAGAGCTGAGGGACAGAGTTCAAGCCCCATGACCAGCAAAAAAAGAAAAAAATCACTTCTTTACTACAACACAGGAACCCAACACAAAGCAAAGGATTGTTCTTTTAGGAACTACTGAATAAATTGTTGGCTTTTCATTGTTTTTTTATTCATTCAAGAAACATATCAAATGCACAGCCAGCTAGTGTTTTCAGAGACATTTTGAGAACACAGGAAACCCCTCCTCATTTTGAGTAACCATCAAAACAGTCACAGAAAGGCTATCTGTGATCTCAGAAAGTTCAGTCTAAATCGGGTGCAGTGGCTTTCAGCTATAAATCCAGAGACTTGGGAGGATTGTGGTGTGAGGCCAGAGAAAAAGTTCTCAAGACCACCATCTTGACTAATATGGTGGTGCACACCTTTAATCCCAGCTATGTAAGAAATGTAAATAACTGGCTTTGAACCATGATCCTCAGACTTCAACTTCCTCAAAAGTTCGAATTACTGATATGAGCTACCTGTACCTGACAAATCTTACTTAAAACAGCATCTTCCAAAATAGAGGAATAACCTAACCAGAGCTTGCCGACGGGGTGCATTTTGAAAAGGTATGGAATTTGTAGTTTCTCGCCAAAGAATAAAAGCCCATCTGGAATACATTCAATAAAATAACTGGGCGAGGCACTGGTGGCTCACACTTGTAATCCTAGCTACTCAAGAGGCTGAGATCTGAGGATCACAGTTCAAAACCAGCCTAGGCAGGAAAGTCTGTGAGACTCTTACCTCCAATTAATCACCAGCAAACAGGAAGTGGAGCTGTGGCTCAAAGTGGTAGAGGGCTAGCCTTGAACAAAAGAGCTCAGGGACAGTGCCCAGGCCCTGAGTTCAAGCCCCACAACAAGTATATATAGATAGATAGATACATAGACATAGATATAGATAGATATCTGTAGCTATCTATCTATATCTATCTATATACACACACACATATAAATAAGTAAATAAAATAACTGGCCTGAGTATTTTGAAAATATGAATGAAAGAAAAAAACTAAGAAATTGTATAGAGAGAAAGAGAGAGAATGATGGCAAAAAAATGTAGAAGTGTGATCCTGAATTGAAATTGGGACATAATAATAATAATATCCAATGCAAGAGACTACTGGGACAGGTGATGAATTTATATAAGACTGTATTAGTGTTATTAATTTTCTGAGTTTTACCCCATGTGGTTGTTTTTTGTTTTGTTTTGGTCGGTTGTGGGGCCTGAACTCTGGGCCCTGGCGCTCAAGGCTAGCGCTCTACCACTTGAACC